CCTCTTGCCGTTGTTCTTTTTGCTCACGCTATCCAGAAGTCTAAGCCACGCTCTCCTTCTTCTCTGAGCCTTAGCACGTGCTCTTCCCTCTGCCTGTAACATTCATTTTCACATTTTTCATTCCTAAATTACACACGACTTAGCTCAGATGCCTCCCTATTCTCTTTGGGTGGGAAGAGTTATTGCCTAATTGAGATGAGAGCAAAGAATGGCTTCCACCACTGGGCGGCGCCATGGGCTCCCTTACACTTCCTGTGAAACACCAACAGATGTCCCCCGGCTGTGGCAGCTCTGGAGGTTTATGGTGCTTGGCATTGACCGGAAGGCTGTGTCAGATCCTCACTTAAGTGCAGATTCTCTATTAGATTTGGATGCTGGTAATAGGATCATTTTCTAGGGAAACCTACTGGAAAAGCAATGAAATGTAAAGTTCTGTTTAATGCAAGCACTTGTTCCTATACTACTCTATTTCTCACATTTGCCCAATATGAGAATCACCTGGTACGTTTACTAAAAACGCGGATTTCTGGGCCCCACCCCTATCTAGGGAATTACAAACTCCAGGGCTGGGGCTAATCTTTACTCAGTGATGTGTGTTTTAAGATGTCATTATCTCCTGGGAGCCAGGTCTGTGACTTAATGGCTTACAAGGCCAATTACCTGCCAATTACCTCTTGAAAGAGCAATACTGTGCTGGCTGAACTGGAGAAACTGGGACAGTTAAGCAACATCTGAAATCAAGGCAAAGCTAAATGCTCGGTAAACTTCCTCGTCAAGAAGGAGTTCTTGGCTGGCACTCCTCTTTTCTCCCAGGATTGGATTTCTTCAAATGCACAATTTCTTCTATGCACAAGGTACACAGAGGAGGGGTGCACCGGGGGCATTAACACCCCACATGGCTGACCTGCTGCACAGGTGGGCAAAGCTGACTTTAGCAGCCAAACGAAGGCCTCAGTCACTTGGAAGTCAGGGTGGCATGCCCACAAGAGGTCAGGGAGAGGGATGTGAGCTGGGCACTGGCAGCATCTACTACCAAATTAAGGAGAAAGAGGTTTCTCCTTAATTTGAAATCTATCTTGCTTTTGCACACAGCATTGCTATGCAACACAGAGGAGAATTTACTTCCTCCATTGTTTCCTTAGAATGGCAAGTCAGGAAAAGTGATGTCATGAGTAGAATAGGGTACTTCTTTGTTAGGTCTTCGGCTTTCATATTTTTGGATATTTGAATATCCAAATATCCAAATGTTTAAATATCCAAACATTTCCTAGAAATCACTAAAGCCACAAGGCAGTACTTAACTTCTCCTTCCACACCAAGTTTTACAGTGTTGTCAATAGTAGTAATACTAACAATGACGTTCTTATAACATTTTTACATCCATCGTCTGATTTAACTCTCAGAGAAGCCTTGTGAAGTAAGGGAGGTAATTCGTGTCCCTCAGACTTCTAAGCTATTTTAAACCCATGGCGGAAAGCTTGCAGGCTTAAACCTCAGCTGGAAGTATAGCTCCAAGGAAGCAAGGAGTGGCTCAGATGCAAGTGACTTCCAAGAGCATCGGCTCTTCTCCAAAGTGGGGGTGGGGAGGGGCTTTCCTCTGAGTGTAGGAAAGTGGGGAGACAGGTCACAGGGCAATGGAGCAGGAGACAAACCCTGCTGGGATCTGGGCTTGGTGGAAGCTGTCACAGCAGCAGCTGTCTTTGGTTCCGAAGTCCCAAGTTGTCCTTCGGCCTCTGACAGAGGCCTCCCTCTCTCCAAGAACTTTGCCTTTCTTGGGAAAACATGGACATTCAGAATTTTACTCTCTGTTGACAGCACTGTGACTGAATGCTAGATAGACTCAGTCACTTGTTTTCCGGAATAGAGACTTTATTTCTGAGGAAGCATATTTCCTGTAGGAGTAATAAATACCTTCTGAGATTTGCCTTATGAATGGACACCTCGCCAAGCTGCATCACCGAGACACGGCTCCATTATAACTGTCCAGGAATACATCCTCTCTGAGTATGAAACGATTCAGTTACTGATTAATAAGCAAAAGCCTTTTAAGCAGGTTTAATCAGTTAAGTGTGTGCTGTGCTCTCTCTGGGTGTTCATGGAGACTCAAGCGTTGCAGAAAGTTCCGGTCCTTTACCCTCTGAAACTCTCAATTCTCATTTTATCAAGTACTCAATGTAGAGTAAAATAAACCACACATATAATATTTATGGGAATAAAACCTTTTGGCAATGGAAAGGTACACTTTATATTCTGAGGTCATAGAAGCCTTTATGAGCAAGAGAGAATAGACATTTCCAGTAAATAGTATTCATTGTCTCAGGTCCCTGTCCTCTGCTTTGGGAGAATAAGGTTTCTCACCCTGATGATTAACAGGGATATTCCAATTTTGTCTCTTTTTTTTAGAGAGCAGACATTGTGCTGGCGGAATTTCTGTGATGAAGAATTAAGTTATATTGTTTGTCAAAAGAGGCAACTGGAAACACGGTCCATCTGCCACTTTCCACCACTGTTACCATCACCCACGTTGAGAAAAAAGAATTTCTGCTTTGGATTCTCTGTTGGGCAGGGTGATGGGAGGGATGGGGACTTGAGCTTCTACTAATTTAAATTCTGGAAATTTTGCCTGAGAGAATTCTTATGAAAGTTTCAATCCCAATGAAAGCGAACTTCCAAGGTGGAGGAGGGAGAAGCCGGCTGGCCGGACCCATCACTGGGCCCAGTGCTGCTAAGAGAGCTCAGCACACTGTTCAAACCCGTGGAGGAGTGCCTTGCTCCTTTCTGGAAGCACGACCCAGGCTTGGCTCTGGTTTGGAGCTCTCCGAGCGTGACGCATTCTGCAAGCCTGTCCGTGTCTATGGCTCAGCCCCAGTTCTGCAGGACTGATGCTCAAATGGCCCCCTCTCCTAAGGCTTTCTGCAGGATGGCCCATCACAGCCAAACACCGGTCGGCTAACCTGGTGTGTCCATCTGGTGTGCTTTCGGCACATACCTGGGTCATGGCTGACCTCTGAGAGCTGACTTGCTCGATCAGCTGCTGCCTGTCTGAAGACGGTGGACAGGCCTTGGTGGGTTTATATGCAGTGGCATCAGGGGATAAGGCCAGTTTAAAATTATTCTGAGTGTAAATGGATATAAACTTTTGGTGAACAATTTGGCAATACTAACAACCACCATTAAAATGTTCATATCTTTTGACCTAGTAGTTTTATTTCTAAGAATCTCTCTTAAGAAAATAAATAAATATACATTCCAGGACAAGTGCCCTGAGAGATGCTGAAGGAAGCAGGCCCATGAAGGTGCATGTTTGCTTTAAGATTACTCAGCGCCCCCTAAGTACCAGCTGCGTAGGGAGATGCGCTGCTTCCAGGGCCCAATGCACTGGACCAAGATGGAGGGCTTTCTGTTTCCGCAACTATCATTTCACCTGTGACTTTCTCTGCTGCTTTCTGGTGGCTGGAATTATATTGAGCAAAGGCAGATGGGCAGCTGTTCTTCAAGTTATTACAAAACAGAGGAAAAAACCACTGGTATTAGTCAGCAAAGAATTAACTACCCCTTTATGATGAATCTAGGAAGCACCAACAAATAATCAGCACTAATGAGTAACTCCTTAGATTCAGTTAGGTTAACACTGGGAACCCAGAAAAGGGAACCGTGGGTTTAGTGTAGACCTGCCCAAGACAGGAAAAATGGATGATTTTCATGCAGACTTGGTTCCTGGGTGGTAATCACTTAGTGGATTTTTCATTTAAAAATCAATATTTTCAGAAAGCACATGGCTTAGAGTCATGTAACTCAACCTCCAACCCACCATGGCATTCCAAAGGACCACCACCCAGCCTCTGCTGACTACTTCCTGTGATGTATTCAACCTTGCCACCTCTCCAGAAAAACATTCCATTTTTGTATAGATATGGTCATTAGAAAGCAGACCCATAAGACTGCAGTGCAAAGGTCATAAAAGAACATTGGATTTAAGGGAATGTGATCAGTCTCAGAGGTGAGGGCATGTAGCTAAAGCACACCACATAGGATGACTACATCCAATTTTTAGAATTATTTGTTATTTTTCTTCTGATGAACAAACTGTGTAGCAGATACAGAAATACTTTCATAGTCATCTTTAAGGAAAGTGGTGCTGGGTAATAATATTGGTCTAGTATATTTTTCATTATTTTATAGATAAAAATAGAAGTGATCCCTCCTTCTGTTAGCTGCCATACAAAGCTTCAGTTATAGTATAGATAATTCACCTCAGCTCCCCTACTGGGTAGTCTGTGATCTCAAGGAATTGATAATCATAATCTAGGCTTGGTTGTTAGCAAACTGAGGAAGGCTAGATTGGTAAGCCAATGGGCTTCACTAATTAATGGGTCCATTAGTTCAGTTTGTTAGTTACTATTTTATGAATATATTATGTCTCCCCAATTCGATTACATAATCCTTAAGGGCAGGGGTTATTTCTTACACCTCAATGTGGTTCCAACACTGAGCACACACACAATCTCATCAGTATATGCTCAGGTAATTGTAGAAGACTGTGTTGTAGGCAACATAATGCACAAGTGCTGAAGAATTAATACAAATAACAATGACCACAAGCTATTGGTTTCATACTAATAAAACATCATAATTTAAAGAGTATATTGCATTTATTTACCCCATAAATTATAACCCTTTAGCACATGTAAAAGTTTCATGTTCTTAAAGTGCTTTAAAAGATATTTAATTTTTTTTTAACAAGTAGAGATAATGTTCTTTAAAAGACATTTAATTTTTAGTGGAAATTAATATTACTAAAAGCATTTTGTGCATGTTTGAATAACAATTTATCTTCTTCAAGAAATAGGATTTTTATATAAAATACATATGTAGCACTGAATGCCAAAATGATGGGTATCTGTGGTTGGGATTCAAAATTAGATTTTCTACTAAATCCATCTGGATGTTCTCTTGAGTCGAGAATGATCTGATTAGGGGTGGGAGGTGCACTGGGTAACCAGTGCTTTGGAAGGTGAATTTCCTTGCTGTGAAATGGGCTCGAGTTAGTGGTCGGGACAGCCATTCAGACTGACAGGCCCCTGGACTTCCACGGCGTCAGTAATAGGAACAGGGATGTGGTTCACTTGAATATTCTTTAGACAGCCAAAAAATGATTTCCACACAGGGAGCTTCAGCGTCTTCAAATTGGCTGAAAGAGAAAAGGGAGAAGCATCAATGGGTAATTCATGTTGTCCAAGGAATGCAGCCTGGGTTTGGTAAGATACTCTTCTTAGAGAGCTGAAGTACCCCGTGTCTTAGCGCCCCCAGCCATTTCCTCCGCTTCTAGCAGGCATCCGTCACTCCTCCTGCTGCGACTCTTCAAGTTCTTCAGAGGACATTGTGCAGCCCAAATTGATAGATAATAACTGTGAACTCTGGTGCTTTTTATGAGTCATGAAAGGCCTATAAAATTAACAACCAGACTACAGTGTATTTGGAGGGACAGCAAGTAACAGAGAATGAAAAGGTTCTTTCCAGGCAAAATTCCAGTCTTGAACTTGACTCCATCTTAACCCATCTGATTCTCCCATTCTGGCCCCATAAAGCTTAATAACTCACCAGTAAAACTAAATGCTTGGAGAGGAAAGACCAGTTTTGCAGCCCTTTCCCTGATTCTTTGTTGCCATCAGACTTCTGGGTTAATGTAGTCTGTTAAGAAAGGCTTATAAATTATAGGCTTGGGGCTGGGCATGGTGGCTCGCACCTGTAATCCCAGCACTTTGGGAGGCTGCAGTGGGAGGATTGAGCCCAGGAGTTCAAGGCCAGCCTGGGCAACATAGCAAGACCCCATCTCTACAAAAAATAAAAACTTAACTGGGCGCAGTGGCATGCAGCTATAGTCCCAGCTAATTGGGAGGCTGAGGTGGTAGGATCACTGGAGCCCAGGAGTTTGACGCTGCAGTGAGCTATGATCACTGCACTCCAGCCTGGGTAATAGGATAAGACTCTATCTCTTAAAACAAAACCCAATAAGTATGGGTTTGCGACAAGGGAAACAGCAGTAATGGGCCTGGGCTGCCTTGAAACGTGCCTGTGGCTGGCAGTTGTGTTTCCTCACATGCCGGAGCAAAGGGCCTCCCAGCTACTAACCCATCAGCTGCAGCAACACATTTGTCGGGTTAGGAAGAAAATGTTCAGAGCTGAGACGGGGCAACACGGGTGCAGAAGGAGAAGTCAGGGCAAGAGTTACCTGGGACACCTCCAAGGTGTAGTGACTCTCGAGTGTCAGCAGACAGGAAGGTAAGCTGTCCGGCAACGGAGCTACTGTCTGCGTCCAGTTCCAGGTGCAGGATGTGTTGTTTTATGGTGACTGGTAGGAAGAAAGCTAGTTAGGTCTGTCACCTGAAGTGAGCCCTGCTTACTGCTTCCTGTCTATGATATTGCATCACTGCTGGCTTCATTTCAACTCCTTCCCACCAGACCTGTGGCAGCAATGCTTGGAGGAATTTGCTCAGCCTAGATAGAAATTCAACTAGCTTCTGAAACAGGCAGGGTGTAGGTGCTTCCACATACAGGACCAAATTTAATACTCAGAATGAATCTGTGGGGAAGAAATGATCACTCCCGTTTCTGAGATAAGAGATTCTGACTCCCTGAGGAGCTTGACAAGACAGCTTGGCTAGAGAGGGGCATTCAAGCTCTGGTCTCCTGTGGCCAAGGCCATGCTGATTTCACATGATCTAAGCTACTTTCTACGAAGACAATGACTTCTGAAAACTGATGCCAAAGACAGTGCTTTTGACCCTACACAAAATTCCTCCCATGGTAACAATCTCAGCTCATAGGCACGTAGGCAACTTTCAAATTAGCCAAGAAAAGACCACTTTTTACAAAAGATATTTTAGTCAATACAGGTTCATATATCTCTAAACTAATATCTACAAGTTATTAATAAAAATAACAGGTTCTATTTGAGAGGAAATGCTTGTTCTCCACTCATTGGTTTGTCTACATAGTTTGCATTAACATTGAATGGTTTTTGGAAAAAACAAAAACCCAACAGTGAGCCTGAACAATGCGCTGGGAAGAGCAGACGCAGCACTCACTACGCAGCAGAAACTGCTGAGCATTTTACACACGTCCTCCCGCTGAATTTTCACAGCACTTGGAGGCATGCACCATTTTTATGTCCATTTTACAGACGAGGAAACTGAAGGTAAAGAGCAACTAATCAGCTTGCTCAAGGCCACACAGGTGAAGGATGGAACTGAGACTGGACCTCTCTCCTTTCTGATGCCAGAGCCAAAATCTAAATCACAGTGTTCTACTGTCTTGAAAGCTAGCATAGCCTGTCAGTTTGCTGGGCTCTGGAAACAAAACAACAGAGCACTCAGCGTGTTCTGCAGAACTGGAGGCAGCAGCCGTGAATTCTGCAAGCCTGGCCAGTGGGGAGAATGGACATGGTGACCTGCGGGGCTGGCCTGGTTAGCACCGTGGATGGGTGGGCTGAGGCTGCCTTTGGGATATTCAAGTCAAGACGGAAAGGGAACCTGTTTCAGTGCATGAACAATGGGCTCCTTGACGTCATACCTGCCACTGAGTGCCACTGTCCATCACACAGAGACCGCTTTGGTGTGACTGATGTCAAGGCCCCACCTGCCCCACTGTCCACAGAGGCCGTGACCTGGAACACATGAGGATTTATTTTCCTATTTCCTTCAGAAAGGCCAGTGGAGCCAACTTCTGCCATCTTCCCTTCCCAACCCTGGTCACACTGACACCTACGAGCACATCAGAGATTGGTCCCCCTCCACTCCCAGCCTGGCCTGAAGTGGCTGCCAATGGCAATGAGCTGACCCCTCCTAATCTGAACCCTGCCCCCATCAGCCCTACTCCAAGGTCACTGATGGACATGGTAGAGCCTCCTCAACAATGGATACCGAACAGTGGCTCTGTTTAGGAGGACATGTGAAATGTGGAAGGCAAAAATACTGGTAGAGACGTACACCCTGCTGCAAGGGCCAGTAGATTGTAATTCCATGAATGTATTGCTCACAGAGGGGTTCTTGTCCACGACATTAAACAAGCTAACTGATTGTGTTTGTATTGGCTGCACGTCAGGGGTCAAGCTCCCAGCTGGTTTTGTGCAGAATCCTTCAATCCCACTTTCTAGGTCAGAGTCTCCTCCAGGGTCTTCTAGGGGTTGAATCAAGGTGAATGAAATGAGAGGACTAAAATAAGTACATTTATAAATAATTTACATTTAATTTGCATGTGGCTAGATGGTGCAGTCTATTCATGGGCAATTTTTAAGCTAAGCAATGTCACTGCTGTTAGGAAGGTCATCAGGTCTTGATTTTGTTTTCTTGAGAACAATTCCTGCCCAGAGAGTCTCACTGGAGACCCTCTCCAGCCCCTCCTTTGAAAAGCCACAATTGTCTCAACCACTCTACAAGCAGCTAGCTGCTTGCATGCATCTCCGGGCTCCCAGAGAATTGCTGAAACTTAATTAAAGACTGTAGCTTCAATAAAAAGTGTTCTAGGAGTTTGGGCCATTTTATTTTCTTCTGGGAGTTTTTCCCCTCACATTTAATAAATGGTGGGAAGGACGAAGACGAAAGAAAATGGCACATTGTCAGTCTTTGACTCGAGGTCTTAACTAAGGGAGTCTTCCTGGAAGAATTTGGCTTTAAAAGACGTCTTGGGAAGGACAGGATCCAACTGGGTGGATGAAAGTAAGATCTTGACTCAGGCCTGTGAGTAACAGGATGACTGAGGCAGAAGGAGGCAAAGGAGCGGTGTGGAGGCCCCGGGACCCGTATGGCTGCAGGGGACAACGCCTGGGGACTTGTGCAGAGAGAATTAGGGGATCTGGAGCAATTCAGTGGGCACAGTGCCATGGCATGGGTGTGACGTGGTATAGACAGAGAAATCTACCCATTAATTCTGGTACTTATGAGTAAAAGCAGAGAAGCAATAAGGGTGCAAGGGAGGAGAGAAAAATGAACATTTATTGAGCAGATGGCAGTTTCTATACTCTTGACAAAATCCCTAAAATGTAAGAATTATTATCTACATTTTACAGATAAAAAACTGAGTCTGAAAGAGTTCAAGTAACTTCCCTAGGGCCATATAGCTAAGTGGTGGAGCTAGAATTTAGCCCAACTTGTTTGAGTTTTCCCAGTTTTAAAGAAGAAGAACAGAAAACATGATGATAAAGTTACTCGCTAAAGGAAAATGGTAAGTTAGCCCTGAAGTCAAGGGTCTTAAATACAAGATTGGATTATATTCTCTACTATAAATTTCACCTACTTCGGTCTCCAGAAATGGAAGCTGGTTTCCACATCCCCTTCCCATGTCATCAGACTGCTACGCACCTTTCCTGCCTCCATATAAACACATAAGTGCTTCCAGGGTTGACTTCCGATGTGTATTAGGATTCCAGTGAGACTTCTTGGGCGAATACTGAAAACAAGTTTGAATTCTGGCCCCAACAACACAGAATTAGCTTTCAAAAGAAAAAAAAAAAAAAAACCAGAGGATCATAATTACATAATTAAAGGAAAAGGATAGAGTTCTTTTTTTTCTGGAGACAGGTTCTTGTTCTCTTGCCTGGACTAGAGTGCAGTGGCATCATCATAGCTCACTGCAACCTCAAACTCCTGCAATCCTCCTGCCTCAGCCTTCCAAATAGCTGGAGCTATAGGTGCATGCTGCCATGCTCAGCCAATTTTTTTATTTATAGAGATCTTGCTATGTTGCTCAGGCTGGTCTCGAATCCTGGCCTCAAGTGATCCTCCCACCTTGGCCTCCCAAAGTGCTAGGATTACAGGGATGAGCCACCACTCCTGGCCAGGAATAGAGTTCTTAAGACTCAAAGGCATAAACTCTACCAAACTGCTCCTTACCCAGCATGATATGACCTCCTTCTTGGGAGAAATAAGTGCCTTTCTCCAAAGAGCCATCCAAGCAGGGAGACACGCCAAAGCTTGCAGAAGGGGTATCCAAGGGTGTTAAATCCAGCTGGAAGTTCTTCAGACATCCCACAAAGCTGTTTGGGGGGAGGCTCTGCAACCAAGCAGAAAGGAAAGAGTTCATTACCCTCCACTTCCAGAAATGCATGGATAGCCAAGGTGAAGGGCATTGCAGCTTGTCAGCAAAAGGGGGAGGGTATGTGGGGGTTCATTCTTCCTGTTTTCAAGAGTTAGGTGAGCCTGAGTGTTCCATTTGGCTTCCCACCCATGGTGTCAAGAAAAACCTGTATTCTAGATGTCTGGTGGGTGGTCCAAGTTTGAAGGTATCACCAAACCAAGTGGCGTGTATGCAGGAGGGCAGAGGCAGGGAAGGTTGCCAGCTTGTGCTGGAATAACTACAGGGAGGGGTGACCTGACCCTCACAGATAGAGCGGCAACGGGGGAAATTTCCACCTTATAGATCACAGATCTCACTGTCTCTTTGCAGGTACAAACCCATTCTTAGAGTTACATGAGCCAGTGTGATAGCTTAATGCAGGGCAGCTGACAGACAAAAAGAGGCCAAAATGTTCCCAAAATAATAAAGTGCAAAACACCTGCCTACATTGTTGGGCGCAGTGCACCACCAACAAATCATGAATGCCACAGAGCCAATACAAACCACGGCGTGCACGGTCAGTGGGCTTGCGTGGAGCCCCGTGCCTGCCTAATGCTGGCCTACAACAGGGGCTCCTCACCTGGGCCCAGGGACAGGTTTCTGCAATTCTGTGCTCTCCTATATTATAAACCAGGTGTTCCCTGTATGTGGAGAAGGACCATAAATTTCACAAAATTCCCAAAAAACTTTCGGAATCACTGAATAAAAGCCCTAAACTTCCTCTAGAATAAATAACTTTAGGACCCTGGAATCCTGATGACAGATGTAAGATATGGTAAATTTAAGAGAAAATGGCCCACAGTAAACTCCTGATTGGGCTCCCTGTGAACGTTTTAGTTTCTTAAGGTTTGTCATGTTCCACAATGGAGAACCTGTATCTGAAACCAAGCTCCCTCTCCGGGATGGGCCATGACCTAGCACAATCCCTGAGGGCTGCCTACAGCTCGGTGTTAGAGGCGGACGGTGTTGGTTGGAGGTGGCCTGCCCTTGGAAAGAACATGAAGGAGGCTAATGTGATGGTTATACCCACCGGTGAAAAGAAGGCTGCAGAAAGAACCTCAGCTTGTAAAGCATATTGTCAATGGGCACTACTAATCGCCCCAGATGTCAGGATGCTGGGCGTGATTAAGGTGGTTGTAAGAGAATTTACTCAGGGCAAAATAATACCCAAACTGTGCCCCATCCTGTGATTTCTCTGAGACGAAAATAGGTACAGAGGTTGAGGAAAAGCCAACATTAACAATGAGAATTCTCCGTAGCAATTATGTTGTATATTATATCTGTAATACACATTATATTAGATAATGTTATATTTTATTTATGGTATATATATATATAAAAGCATATGTAATAAAGCAAAATAATACTTTATTACTTGCTGAGGCTTTCGCCCAAACCCCAGTGCAAAAGTCCAGTGGGCCGGGCTGAGCCCCGTGGAGGTACCTTGGCCTGGGATGGGTCAGCCTGTGTCCCCAGAGCCCAGCTGGTGGAGAAGACTTGTGCTAACTATGTCCATTTCCAGGCCCAGATTTGAGCGTGGGCCCTTTTCTCCCCCACCGCAAGTAAACATCAAAACCAGAATGTGCCACCAGGTCTGGGGGAAAGGAAGAAATATCACATGTAGGTGGAGGACAGTTCCTAGACCCGAGCTGTTGACAGCATCATTTTACTTACCTTTGTGGGAGAAAAAGGCAAATCTGGAAGAAGAAAGGAGTGTGAGGCCACTCCAAGTCATCCAGGTGCAATTATCGCTCTGGCTGGCGGAAGGAGAGGCAGAGGGAGAAGGCACTCACAGAGCCCAGTCCTGGGCTGGGGCCCCATCTGAGCCTTTGAACTTGACAAATCCAGGTAAGCACCCTCTTCCCTGGGGACAGAGGGACTTTCCCTCAGCCCAGCATCCCCAAGTTTGGTTCTTGAAATAATTTTATTTCAGATACCAAATAACATTAAAATACATATTCAGTTATTAAGTTACTCGTTTTTCATTTCTCTGTCTAGATTTCTGCTTAAGACAAGGAGTAAATGCTAGCTTTGTGCCAACATGTCCTAAACACCTCCTGATCACTTGTCAAGAACTTTTTCTCCCAATGAAGGGCATATGGGCCACACCACCTACCTAGACTCTAACACAGTTTTGTTTTACATGTTTATTTTTTATGGTTACCTACCCTTTAGTGCAAAAGCTATCAGGTTGCTACTTATGAGTGAGAGAGAATGATGCTGTAAAAGCATGTTTACATTTAATAGTTAGTTGATGGCGAGCAGACCGTTGAGCCGACGTTTTCCCCGGGTATGGCAAAGATGGCAAAAGTGTCACTTGTGTTTATAAAGCTGTGGAGAAGCTCTACATTCGCCCCGGTAGGGTCTGTGTCTGCCTCTGCGCCTTAGAAATGAAGGCTTGGGAACGAGGGATGGGCGCCTTCTCTGTGGGCTTGTGAACATTCATTAGATATTTAAAACGTAAGTTAAAGTATTTTGAGATTCTTGAACATCTCATATAATTATGATTAGAATAGAATGTGAGTAGTTTTTATCCATGGCTCTGAAGTGTCACTACTTACCTTTGGTTTTCCTGCAGGAGATGATCCCAGGTAAACTGGTCCTCGGATGCTGACGGTGGAACTTCTGGGCAAACTTCCCTCCCGGGCCCTCAGTCCGTCCACAACCAAGTGACCCTTTTCTCCTTCTTGCCCAAACATCACCTTCAGAGAAAAGAAAGCAAATGAATTCTATTTTTACCTTTGGCAATTGGTGCTGTATTTTATTAGTGATCATAGGAAAATTTTTAAAATGTTTTTCTGCCCCTTCGAATAGCTTTAGAAAATCAGAGATTTTTCTCCTGTTATTACCATCGCCATTATTTTGTGATACGTTAGATATTGAACAAACTGAGCTGAAAAGGGAGCTAAGAAAAAGTTTACTCGAAGGTGAACCAATCAAAAGATGTAATTGATCTGCAAACTCACACAAAAGGGAAACAGCTAAAGGCGTATGCACAAACGAGCTCCCGTGTAACAAAGGGGCAGGGACAGTGTGTGTGGTGCTGGGAGGGCGGTTGCAGCGCCTTGAGCAGGGCTCCTGGAGCAAGCTGAACGAGGGCCCCTCTCTTCCAACAAGAGGAACAAGTGTTTAAACTCTTTGCTAAAACTTAGCATCCCGGGGCTGGAGTGTGGATTCTGCCATCTCCTGGCTGTGAGACTATTCACAGATGACTCCCCAGTTTATATGCCCAGCTGTGATCTTGAGCCTCTACAGTCCACGGACATTCGGGCTTGAATGTCTGACAGCCACTCAACCCGGAGATGTTCACAACAGAAGCCCTCGGCTTCCCCAGCTTTTAACTGTCTCTTCCTGGCCACATCCACCACTCTCCATCTTTTCCGTCTCAGGAAATGCCCCACGAATGACCCGATTGCTGGCCCCGAATCACAGGACACGATATGGACTCCTCTCTTTCTTTCCTTGGTTCTGCCTTCAAAACTGTCCCATGTGGCCATTCCCCCCTCCCCATGGCCTCTCCAAGCAGAGGCAACAGCATCCATCTGGGCTTTCTACTCCCGCTCTTACCCTCTGTGGTCTCCCCAGCTAAAGAGAGCTAAACAACACATAAATCTGTTCATGTAAGAGTTTAAGACTCTTTAAGAGCTTCAGAGACACTTTGGAATAAAATCCAAAGTCCTTAGTTTGACCTTCCAAGCTTAAATGATGTGGGCCCTGCCTTACTCTCTAATCCCATTTCTTGTCACTGTGTTTTGTTCACTCAGCTAATTCCCACCTCAAGGTCTTTGTATTTGCTGTCCCCTCTGCCTGGAACCCCCATCCGTAACTCCCCATGATTGCCACCTCCTATAGGAGGCCTTTCCTGACTACCTTATCTAAAATAGTCTCCCTATGCTGAGCACAGTGGCTCACACCTGTAATCCCAGCACTTTGGGAGGGTGAGGCGGGAGGATCATTTGAGGCCAGGAGTTTGACCAGCTTGGCAACATTAACAATACTCCACCTCTACAAAAATTTTTTAAAAAAATTCACTGGGTGTAGTGGCACACACTTGTAGTCCTACCTACTCAGGAGGCTGAGGCAGGAGGATCACCTGAACCCAGGTGTTCAAGGTTGCAGTGAGCTATGATCACACCATTGCACTCCTTGCTGGGTGACACAATGAGACCTTGTGTCAAAAAATAAAAATAAAAAAGTCTCCCTACTCTGTCCTTTTCTTACCTAGCTCTAGTGTTTTCTCGAAGCATTTACCAGCATCTGACATTATATTGAGGATTTCTTGCTTCTGTGTTCCAGGAAAGCACCTCATAAAATATCTGTTGAACGACGAAGTGAATACAATTTTTCAAGTTGCTTAAGTTTTCTGAGTTCCAGTGTCCTCATTAGAAAAAAAAAAATGGGTCCCTTCTCGCCTGAAACTGTATTTCCTTAAATCTGGAATGCCTCAGGCAAGAGCTGGGATGCCAGGGCTGTGTGTCTTTAAGCTCGTGCTGTGGGGGAGGCACTCCAGGTCCAGAAGGGGGTCTGGAGGCCTGGAAATTGGCCCTGAAGGAGAGAAATGGTCCAGGAAGCAGGGGTGGGAGGAGGCAAGGGGAATGAGGCAGCCCGTGGAGGGCTGGAGTGGGTTGGACACACAATCAGTAAAACCCATCTTGGCATTTAGGATGACACCCATGCATGGCACGGGCTGCAGTCTCCAGCACTGAGATCTGGGTCCTGAATGCCTCTAATCACACAAGCTCTCCCGGTGCAAGTGCCTTCGTGCCTGGGAAGGATGCTGGGACTCCTATTATCAGCTACTGGAACAGTGAGTTCGCACCACCTGGAGGTCCCCTAATAGCCCCAGGCCTTACCGTGTGCCACTTCCCATCGTTGCATTTCTCCTTGCTTTTGAGACTCAGTTTTTTCCCATCTGCCCCCAGTGCAAAGACCAGACGTCCTTTTGAGAGATAAAGAGCCATGAAAGAGTTCTTCGTGCCCGTGTAAAACACCAGGCCCCTGGAGGATGTTGTCTGCACGTCCAGGGCAAACTGCGACCTGTGGGGACACAGGCAATGAGGGAAAATAGAGGTGTTAGTGTTTCTCCGAATCTCAGAGCTGGGAGAGAGGGTGGGGAGCAAACCCCCAAACCCCCATTTGTCAAATGCATAAACTAAGGGATGTACTGATTAAATGACATGTTTCTCTGGGAACTTTTAAAAGCCATTATATGCCAGCTGTTAATAATTTCATTGTTCCTTACTGTATTGGGGAATAATGTGGAACTTTTGTGGTAAATTTAGCTAATGGTGTAAGTCCCAGAACATGGCACGATGGAATATACCTGAACCTTTTTTTTTTTTAAATCTACATTTAAAAAAATTATAGTAAAATATACATAAAATTTACCATCTCAATCATTTTTTAAGTGTTCAGTAGTGTTACACACATTCACACTACTGTGCAATCCATCTCCAGAACTCTTTCCATCTTGCAAAACTGAAACTCTATAGCCGTTAACAAGAGCTCCCTGTCCTGCTGTCCCCTGACAACCACCATTCTACCTTCTGTCTCTCTGGATCTGACTCCTCACGGCACCTCATGTAAGTGAAATCATTCAGTATTTGTCTCTTTGTAACTGGCTTATTTCATTTAGTAGCCTGTACCTTTTAGACCCAATGAATATACATTCTATTTTGTATGTCTTCAAAGGGAGGGAAGTCGTAGGAGAAGTTGGGACAACTTGAATAACAAGGATGTGATTTAAACATCAGATCAGCATTTTCTTTCTAGAAGACATTCTTAACACGAAGGCACAGAAGTACCTTCTCCCACCCACCTCTACATTTCTTGGACCCTAATACCCTACCTATGATGGAAGAATTAGGCAAATATAGTGCGATAAAAGCAGAGTGAAAGTTAATATTCATTTGCATCATGGTTATATATCATATGTACATCTGGCTAGGCAAGCTTTACTTTGTATGAAAACTCTACACTCATCCACCCACCAAACAAATATTTCATGAGTGTGGAATGTGCATGAGGCCCCGTGCTGGGCACTGGAGATGTGGCGATGGCTGTTTCATCCTGTGAGTTGTCTGTGGTACCTGCGTGCCCCGAAAGGGATGCACAAAGGTGCAGCATGGAGAGGTAGTGGGGGAGACAGGTGTCACAGGCTGTCTTCACCCATTCCTGCGGTTAATGCCTAAGTACACTCCAGGCAGAGGCAGGAACTGGGTTTAGCCTTTGTATTAGCTGCACCCGCAGAGCCTAAAACATAGTAGGCACTCAATAAATAGTTACTGAATTGAATTAAGTGATAAATGGAAAATTTGGAGGCAGAAACTGGCAGTGGAAGAAAAAAATGACACCATTAATTCTCTTTGCTTTTTAATTCTTTGAGGCCAAGATGCACATTTATTCTTCAGATTAGCAAGTTTTCTTGAGGGCAACGCTCTTTAAAATAAAAAAGAAATCTATATTTGTTAAATTGAACCAACCAGATGGTAACACTGCTCAATATTTCTGCTGGTGTGTCTGTGTGTTAGAGTGGAGGTTTGGAGAAGGAGAGGTAGCCAATTTAAGGAGGATATTAGGATGTGCCACAGAATGTAAAGCACTTTCCATATGTGGGCTTGGTGCTCAGACTTGACATTTGCTTTCCAGAACTGTTTCTTAATGTAATGTTCTTTCTGAAAAGACTAACTGACTAACACCCCAAAAAAGGCAGCAGCAGATTCCAGTCCCAGCAGATGATAGTGTAGCTGTGACTTCAGTGCCAGAGGATGGAAGGGTAAGACAGAGAGCGAAACAGCGTTCTTATACACTCACCAAAGGGTTATAGTAACAGTATCAGTTTCAAAGGAGAGTCAGAACATTGCTGGAATTAAATCAGAATGAGAACAATAGAATACCCCAAGTCTTGCAACTTCCTGAAAATATCCCATTCCTACACTGTTTGGGACTAAAATAATTTCAAAATTATATTTACTAATGACTGACAATTTTTGTTTATCTTTTAAAATGCTTCTTTTTTCATTCCTGATGTAGAATTTAGCGTTGGACAAGAAGGCACAGCAGTTGCATCTTCAGAACAAGCGGATGTGCATGTGCTGAGACAGAAGCTTCGGGAGGGGGCAGGGAAGGAGGGCGGCTGGGGAAAGGGCGTCAGCGTAGCTTCTTGAAAAAGAGAGACTGTTGTCATTAAGGTCAGCCTGACGGAGGAGTAGCCAGTGGAGGGCTGACTGGGAGGGATGATCTCCTGTCCCTCTGCCTTAGTTTCCTGAAAATATTGCACAGTTTTGGCAAAGGAGGGATCCTGAGACTATCTGCGGGGAGCTGGAGGTGTGGAGACGCCAGCACATGCTTTCTCCCTCAGAACCCAGAATTTCAGTCCTTCTCTGGCCTTTCTGCCCGTGAGCCATGCTCATGCTTGCAGCTTTACTGCGTGGCTTCCAAGGGCTGGCCCCTCACAAGCTATTACCTCTCCTCCCCGCAAAGAAGCATCATCAACCCCATTTAATGGAGGAGAAAACTGAGGTCCAGAGACAGCCAGCACTTCGATAAAACATGTGAGACAGGACAGAGGGAAAGCTTAGGCTTAGAAAAGTGAAATAGCCTGTGGCAGATCGGGAGTTGTTCTGCCTTCAAGAGAACCTGCTGTGGGGGCACAGGGGCCTGGAGGTGCCCAGCTGTCACACCCTAGGGTCTACGGTAGCTCTCAGAAATACTGGAGCTGGTCATTCATACCCCACACTGGGCTCTTCTCAGGGGTGATCTCTGCTTGGGAGTGCCCTGTGTGCCTGGTGGAGACTTTCTCAGGGCTGCTCTGTAGACGGAGCCCTTCCTACCCCATCCTTCACCCATCTCCTCCCTTTACAGGGGTCCCCAGGTCACATCTGGCTGTGGGTTCCCTTTCTGCTCCTGTCCCCTCCCAATCATCTTTCCCAGCTTTCCCCACAATAAGACCCCTGCCATTTAATCCCATCTTGGCATCTGGGTCTCAGAGGAGCTGACCTGGCATATGGCCTGGGGTCACACAGGGATTGGATGCTAGATGTTAAAGCCGGGTCTTTTTGACTGCTGGGCAATTCTGCCTATGTAGAGAGTTCATGAAGGAATGGTTGGCATCTTTTTATTTATGTCTCCTTCAAATCGCCTGAAAATGACAAACCTTGTTTTTAGACTTTCTTCTGACGTAATTAATATTTCTGATCATTCCCTCCTCTCCAAAAGAGACGCAACTTGTTAGCATAAAAAGGCCAAATGCATTCTCTAAAAATGATCTATCTGGCACCGAGTCTACCTAAAAGAATGATTTTCCTTTCACTACACAATGCAAAAGAAGAAAGGTGATTTATCACAGAAATAAATAGCAGCTTTGGGGAAAAAAAAATGTCAGCCTTATTTTTAGAACACCATCAATTTTCAGCCAGAGCCGAGCTGATTGTTCCTGCTTCTGAGCAGTGCGCTGTCACATCTGCAGTCAGCTGTGGCAGGAGCACATGGCGGGCAATTGCGCACCCTGTCCTGTGCAGGCTAGTGCCACCTTCATAGTGACAGGTGCATGATGTTATGCCAGCGAGACTTCCCTGGGGGTAGGATCGCAGAGTCAGGTTCTGAGTCGGCGCTGGGGAAAATGAAATAATACCTGGGTTTCAGGAACTCCTGAGGAAGCTTGAATAGCAAGTGGCTGGTAGGAAGGTCCCCAAACTGGAAGGCTCCATGACTCGCCTGGGCCCTGGGGGGTGGTGGGCAAGACTGTGCATCTTGCCACACTTTCATGCTCCTCGGAGAGGCCACTGGTGTGTCCCGCAATAGCTGCATAGAAGAGAAGCAAACAAATTAAGACAGCTAATTATCAGGGGAAGAGCAAAGAATGCTTATCTTGCTAAGGACATTGCTCAATTGTTACCCTTGATCCTGAGATGAATTCGATAGAGAAACAGAAGACCCGGCAAATGGAGTCATGGGGCTGGGAAGTTCCCACTGAGAGCCATGTGGAGGGGGCTCCTTAACCCTTTCTGCACCAGGTCCTCCCAGTGCCTGTAAGTATCCCAGTATCCCAGCGTCGCTTTGACTTGGGGTCTTTTTGCCACCAGGAAGGTATAAAATAGAACTGGAAAGGTGGTGGGGGTGGGGGGAGTGTCATTCTCCTGGGGAAGCAAAATTTAGGAGAATCTAAATATCCCTCTTCTCTCACTGCTTCTTTGGGGAGGATGCATGTTATTCCCATGCTACACAAAGTCTGGTTTCATTGCTTAAAACTGTTGTACTGGGGACCAACGGCTCTCCAGGGACCAACGGCTCTCCAGGGACCGTCCCCACCATGGAGCACAGGAAGAGCCAGTGTCCCTTGAGAGAGCCAGCACTTGGCCAGCAGCACTGAGGCGCCCACAGCTAGCCAGTGAGCCATGGAACCATGAACCCGCCACCTCTGCCAGGTAGCCATTCGCTTGGGCAGCAGAGCGCTGAAAGGACCAAGACAGCAGGGGACAGACGGGAGGGGATCACACCCTGTGCCCACGTTCATCACAGCTGACTCAAGCACAGAAGCCTGTCCTGTGCTGGACGATGCTTTGAAATTTTGAACAGGACTGAGTTTTAATGCAGAAGAACAACCATAATCTAAATGTGACTAGAAAAATTATTGGAAGTAACCAAGAGTCTCTGCATAGCAGAGCACTGATTCTGAAGGGCCCATGCACTTCTCCCAGAGACTAGAAGCTCAGTGGGGCTCTCCATTAGTCAAAGCAAGGTGGGGGTGGGATTTGCTTTGCGAGGGATTGGTTCAGGAATTAACATGTGACCCCCCCCTCCTGGCCAATGAGCCTTGAGGAGAAGTTGGGGGCGGGGCTTCGGGTAAAAGTTTTTGCGCTAGTAGAGAGAAACCGGGCAGAGTTGGTGCTTCTTGTGCCGGACCTTGGCCGGTGAGGATGTGTTTCCTGGAGGCAGGCAGGGTGGAACCAAGAGAACTGTGGCGAAGCAGACCTGGGTCCAGCTGGGTCAGGCCCCAAGCCCCATCTGCCCCTGAACGGTTCATTATGTGAGATGATTATTATTATTGGTTAAGCCATTTCTTTTGCAGTGAGTTTTCTGGAGCCAGCAGCTAAAGCCTTCCAATGGATTCAAATTCCTTCAAGATCAGGTTTTCCTCCCTGACCTGACTTGGATACAGTGTTCAGAACACTAACTTGATATCAGGTATTGAAAACATTCTATACTTGCACAATGCTGAATGCTCAATCATGCCCACCAGAGAGTTAGAGAATTACTTAAAATTAGAGCCAAACCTTGATCCTACTGAGATTAGAACCCTATTGAGAAAAGAGCCTGGGACTCACACCAGTGGGCCTCACTCCCTCTCTGAAAGTGTGTGTCAGCAGCAGTAGCATCAAGACGAACAGTTTTGTAGATACGTTTTGCCACCACGTTTTAATTCTCTTAATGGCATCATCGTCCTTCAAGGTACTAGGTTCAAAATTTTGGTCATCATGGACATACACCATACCTCCCTTACCTCTGTCATGCATTCAGTTTTCATGTCCTGCTCTTCCTCTCTGTGACGTATTTGTTTCCACTCTTTCCTTTTTATTTCTAGTGCCTCTGCCCTGAAAGTCAGCCCTGACTCTCTTACTTGGACTATTGCAATAGCTTGCCAGCCTGACTCCTTGTCTCTAGAACTTTCCTACACCAAACAGTCCCACGAGCCGCTGCCAGTTTAATAATCTTTAATCTTTTAAATGGCTTAAGGCACTCCTTTCAACAGCTTTACACTGACTGCAGAAAAATGTCCAAATTACATAGGTCACACAAGACTTGTCTGATCTGGTTCCAGCGTGTGAGTCCAAGTCACTTCCCCCTAGGCTCCTTTTGCCACCAAATGTCCTACTGCTCATCAAGCTCTCCAGGCCTGGAGAGTCTACGTGATGTGGCTGGAAGAGCACACTCTTTGGGATTCTACAGCCCTAAGTTTGAATTCTGACTCTACCATTTACTGATGGGGTGCTCTCAGGCAAGTGTGTTTGTAACCTCTCGGAGACTCAATTTCCTGACCTGTAAAGTTAGCATTTTCTTCTGCCCTCAGAGGTGTGTGATGGGAGCTGAAAAAGAAAGTATGGAGACTTGCCAGCATCAGAGCAAATGCACATAACATTTTGCACCTGCAAGTCCCACCCATACCCTGCCTCCCAGCTTTGGGCTCTTAATCAATCAACAACAATATTCACTCATCTAAACTTGACTCACACTCCAGACCCAGCTCCTGGGTCACTTCCTCCAGAAGAACCCTCTGATTCCCATGGTAGGGAAATTCCACTGCACCACTCCTATAGCACATGTCCCTTTCATTTAGATTATTAATGTGCATAGTAATAATAACATTTATTGCATGCTTACTACGTGCTAGGCACTTTTCTACATGTTTTGTGTTTATTACCACATTCAATCCTCACAACATCATGAGATACTACCATGATTTATCTTCATTTACATTGGAGCAAACAGACCCAGAGATAATGGTTGACGAACAGACCTTGAAATAATTGTTCAAGGTCACACATGTTGTAAGTGATAATGCCTGATGCAAACTCAGGAAGTCTGACCCAAAGCCCAGTACTTAACCACTAAGCTATGTCGCATTTTCTATGCTATTGGGCTACAGGGGGCAGAACTAATGTCTTATTCTGTCTAATCTGGGGCTTGCACAGAACAGGGAGGAAATGAAGTAGTGCGTTCACTGACATCTCCCACATCAGTAGCCCCAGTTCCCTGCTATCTGCTGCCGTCCATGCAGAGACACCTGACAGCTTCACATCAGCTTTCTCCACCTGGATGTCTTGCAGGCACCTGTCACTCAATGTGCCACAAACTCCATTCATTCTCTTTCCCTGCAAATATTTGTCCTTCTCCTATATCTACAAAGATCTCTATGGCATCTCCACTCATTCAATAACCCGGACTGGATGCCTCAGAGTTATTTTAACTGCTTCCCTTCCTTTTGTCTCCCAAATTCAACTATTGCCTGAGTCCTGTATATTCTATCTTCTAAATAGCTTTTGAATCCATTTCCTTCTCTCCAGTTCCACTGTCACTGTGCTAATTTAAGTCTCTCAGTAACTTTCAGCCTTACAATGAAAAAATGAATATGGTTTCATTTCTGATGGCTGATTCTAAAGATCTTCTTTTCATAACACTAACACGACAAACCTTTGGGATTTATGAGGTGTATTTCCCAATAACATAAAACATTTCTTATTATGTATTATCTGTTCAAACTCCCCAAATCATTGTGCAGCAGGGAAATATTGGCAGACAAGCAGCACGTGGTTGACGCTGAGTGAAAAGTATGTCGAACAGGAGCTCATAGCTTGTAAGAGCGCATGGGCTCCCGGGATGGAATTCCAACTCCACCTTGCACCTGTGGGAGCCTGGGCAAGTTGCTTACCTTTCTAAGCCACAGGATCCTTTTCTGTAAGATGTGGCTAGTACTGGTACTTACATCATAAGGTTATGGAAGGATTTAGTAAGAAAATCCACTTGGAGGGCTTAGTGCAATGCCTGGCAGATCAGGGGTGCTCATGGTTATCCATTAATCATATTAATTGTAACCTCAGGCCTGGGGAGATCACACTGCTGAGCAGAGCAAAGAGTTCCCTAAGTCCTGACCCTGTGTTCAAGTCATCACACTACTTCTGCTCCCCCGAATAAGGAGTTTCATTTGCTTTCAGCTGCTCTCATTGCTGCACATGAGAATCACCTGGGGTCCTTTACAAACTACCACTGCCTGGGTCCACTCCAAGGGTATCTGACTTAATTGGGTCAGATGCAGCTTGAGTGTTGGGATTTTAAAGCTCCCCAGGTGTTTCTAATGTGAAGTCAAGGATAAGCCACACTGGTTTGACCTGGGTTCAAGGACTGGGTTCATCTGTCTGTGGGCAGAAGGGGCATGTCCCTTGAATTCTAGAGAAAATCTAGAGATACAGCAGAAGTGTCAAATGAGCAAGACATCAGCTGCAGAAATTGAGGACCTAAGTCAAGGTTCTATTTGTTCTGTGACTTCAAAAATTGGCAAAATTTCTTTAAGATATGAAATAAAAGCTGCAAAGAAAACCATTGTGGCATTCTGGTATGGTTCAACCGTTGATGGCCCATCGACCCCATCTTCATGGAGGCCCTGACCCCCATGGGATCAGGTGATCATCCCCCCTTTTTCCCAGCATCTCCCACAAGGCAGGCTTAGGAAACTCCTCTGGGGAGAAGGAAAACCCATGCTAAGTTTTTGACACTTACCTGGTCCGTGTTGAAAGTCTTGGCCTTGTTAAATCTTGTAGAACCTTTAAGCAACATCAGAAAAGGTGGCTCGTTTAAACTGCAGCCTCCCAGGGACACATCTCTCTTGGTAGATTTACTGGCCAAATCTAGGACTTCAGGACTCTGTGTTAACCTGAAACAAGGGCAGAAATGAAAGCTGCTGCCAATGGGAAGACCCATCGGTAGAGAGAGCTCATTTCAAAAATAAACATTCTTACTGTTCCTAGACGGACTTTCATCTCCTACATTTCTATTACATCTAGACAGAAGAAGGGCTCGAGAAACTTTTTATTGACTTGGATTGTGGCAGGGCCAGAATACTATAGTTCTTTCTTTGGAATGAATGTCATAGAGAAATATGAAAATAAACTATGTACAGAAGGGAAAGATGGCACTGGATGATATAAAATGACAGTAAACATCAGGAAACCTCAGAGGTGAGTTTATTATCTGGCTATGTTTGAGCAGGAAAGCCTCAGACTTGCTTTATCTCATAGCTGTTGTCTGAGACTTGTCATTGCAGCAGCTGGTGCTAAGCACCTCTGTGTCCTCTCCGTCACTCCCACTGCCTGCTCCAGGCCCAGACTAGATGTTTTCTCAACCAGGAGGGCAGTGGGAACTCTGAGCTTTACACTGACCAAGGAGGATGATGCCCTGAAGGGTGGAGGGCTGATGGCACCGCAGTGCCGTGCTGGCCAGAAAGTTCCAGCTTGAGGTTCACGGCCAGAACCAGGTTCTCCCTCTGCCCTGGAGAGGGTTTTGCCTCTTCCCCAAAAACGCTCGCTCATTTTGTTTCAAAAGAAAACATTTAAATGCTTGCATGGAGGCACCATGCTCTCCACTAAAAGTCACGTTCAACTCTGTGGTGATTTGCTTTCTTAGCACTGCACTGGTCCGTGCAATTCCTTGGCCTTGAAAACTACAGACAGCTGATCAAATCTAATTGCACAGTCTTGTTAAAATGAAATAAAATGTCAGCGTGAATATTTTTCAAGGCCATAATCTGAAGTTAATTTCAATTAGACCTTTTCTAAGGTTATGTGCCAAAGCTGCTCCTCTAAAAGGAGGTTGGGCCCAGAAGTTTTCTGTGGGTTTGTTTTTCAATGTGTGTATCTTGCCAAAGAGGGCGTTTCGAAAGAGTGTGACGTAAGAGCCTCGTGCAGCATCTTTTGACAGATCTGATTTTGTTAACCGGACCCATGAGATGCCCCCTTGCTGGAGCGGTTACCCACACAGAGAAGATCACCCACCTCCGGACAAAAACATTGCTGATACAACCCTCGAAATAGCTCCCACCCAGACGCAGAGATTGCTGGGAATTTGAAACGCCTTTTAGCCTTTGGTTATTTCTCATAGGCTGGTCATCGATAAGAAGCCAGAGTCTGCAAGAGGAGGAAAGCAAGTCAAGGGTGAGAACTGCTGGGAAAAAAAACGGCTTTCACCATGTGGTCAACTTCCTGTTTTTGACCCAGACTCACTATCTGTTATCTAAAATAACCAGTGAAACTAGACTTACTTTTAAAGAGCATTTAAAATTTTTTCCCTGTATTTCATTTCACACATGTTATTTTTATTAAAGATTTGTATACATACAAAAAGTGCATATACTGTCAGTGTTCGGCGCCATGATTTTTTGCAACATAAATACACTGACATAACCAGCACCTAGACAAAGAAATTCGCAACGCAGGAACCCCGTCTTGTACTCTCTTTAGTCTCTATCCTCCCTCCCTCTATCCTAAATTCTGATAACGTAGATTAGTTTTGCCTGTTTTAAACTTTGGATACATGAAATCATAGAGGATGAGCTCTTTCATGTGTGACTCTTTTTGCTCCACATTATGTTGGTGAGGTCCATCCATGTCATTATATATAGTTCTAGATCTTTCCTTCTCATCACTGTATAGTATTCCATTTTGAATACACCACAATTTATCCATCCAACTGCTGATTTTTTTTAATGAGGAAATTGATATAGAACAAAGAAAAAGGCCAAGACTTACTAGGAAAATAGGTTCAGCATCAAGGACAAATACTTTGTAAAAAAGACACCAGAAAATTCGATGAAACTAAATAAAGTAAAACTCTCACAGCTCCAACAGAAGTACCATTCCACTCACCCAGAGTTGTCGCTTATTATAGACACGTAATGTAGTAAACCATCCATGTACGTCTGTGGAGACTTAAAAATGGGGTCGCTGCTGTCCCTGGTGCTCAATTCAATGTGACCATCTTCCAGAGTGACCTGCAGGCTACTTGTCTGAAAGCATCATAGAATATACCCAACAACATTTAATTTGCATGTAGGATTATGAATGTATCAACACTGAATTATTATCAAAACCATGCATAAAACAGTCAGAATGTTTTAGCATAAATGTTTTAGCTTTGCTGTTTTGATCTAAAAACTACTTTTTGAATATTTTGACTTCATGTTTATGAACATAAAAATCTATGAATATTATTTCAATGCTGATGAATTTGTCAAAACCATCTTTCTAGACCTACATTCATTAAGCCAACTTAATTTCTTGATCAATTATACAAAACGGTTAAACCATTTCTAAATTTTTCTATTTTTACATTTATTTTGCAGAAGCTGTTTCCATCAGGATCAATTCTTTTCTGAATAAATTTTACAGCAAAGATTTGATTCATCAGTTTTTTTTAATATATAAGAATATTATACCAATTTTTTCTCTTCCATCATCATGAATTTTTTATTTCCTGCTCATTATTTCTAGGAAGTCCAATTATCCATGTCAAACTCTACAGATCTAAATTTTGGCAAGATGATTTAACTCTGTCAATTATTAATTTAAAAAATGTATAATTTCAGCAGTTGTCATTTCAGTTTTGGTCATATATTTTCTACTAAGTACAATTTCTGCAGTTTTTCAATGAGATGTGATTCTTTGGTGAGATTTTAGTCTAAAACAATTTTTACAGTGTGTGGTTATAGCCATTGTTGGTTTTATTTTGTGTTGATTCTTTTTCAACTGGCAATATTCATTATGAATTAGATCAAAGAATGGTAATTCACATGTAGTTCTTAACTAACCTATTATGAAATGGAGGGCAATGTCCCTAGGATATTTCTAGGATTCCTCCACAGTCCACGATTGATCTAATCTTTTACTAACCCAATTCTTTCATCTGCTTTTGACCATTTGTGTATTGTACACTAAGTGTTCCTATACATGACAGAGAAAACAAGTGTCAGGTGTCAAAAGAGCTAGGTCAAAACATCCTGCTTTTGTGGAAAAGCTACCCCCACATTCTAAGTGTTGGCATGTGCTTCTTCAAGGCTCGTTTTCTTTTTTTTTAAAGATCTCTAAAGACTGATGAGCAAGCCTTCAAGAGAAGAGGTCTTCCCAATTATATCTTTTAGCACTGCAGTCCCCAACGCCTCTCACCCCCGCCCTGCCACAGACCGGTACCTGGCCGCACAGCAGGAGGTGAGTGAGAAGCTTCAGCTGTATTTGCAGCCGCTCCCCATTGCTCCTCATTCCCCCAACCTTCCCCCCCAGGTCCATGGAAAAATTGTCTTCCATGAAACCAGTCCCTGGTGCCAAAAAGATGGGGGGACCACTGTAGGTGTCTGCTGTGCTCTGAAATCCTAAAGAAATAAATCCAAAATGACTGTATTCTAGTCTGCTTCTATTTTAAAATTCTACTCACTCCACAAGAGGATTTCTAAATATTAGTTGACTTCTACGCCTACACTACCTAAATCCTCTTAAGTTATAGAGGGTAACTCCTTGTTGAAGAGCATTTCTGTGGCTCTGCTGTATATGAGGAAAGAGCAAAGGACTTTATTTTCTGCCATTTCCCAGATGTATATATTGTCTAACTAGCTGATACAAAAAGAGGAATTTGATCTAAACCTAAGGAGTGAAACTATTAGAATTCTAGAGGAAGAAGTTGGAAATACTCTTCTAGACATTGGCCTAGGCAAAGAATTTATTAAGAAGACCCCAAGGCAATTACAGCAACAACAAAAATAAATAAATGGGACCTGATCAAATCAAAAAGCTTCTGCACAGCCAAAGAAATGGTCACAAGAGCAAACAGGCAACCCACAGAATGGGAGAAAATTTTTGCGTGCTACAAATCCAACAGAGGGCTGATAACCAGAATCTATTTAGAACTCAGAAAAATCAGCAAGAAAAAATCAAACAGCCCTATCAAAAAGTGGGCAAAGGACATGAACAGAAACTTTGCAAAAGAAGACAGAATAATGGGCAAAAAAAAAACATATGAAAAAATGCTCAACATCTCTAATCATCAGGGAAATGCAAATCAAAACCACAATGAGATATCACCTATCTCCAGTGAGACTGGCCTTTATCAAAAAGACCCAAAACAATAAATGTTTGCGTGGATGCGGAGAGGTAGGAACACTCATACACTGCTGGTGGGACTGCAAATTAGTGCAACCTCTGTGGAAAGCAATATGGAGATACCTTAAAGACATACAAGTAGAACTACCATTTGATCCAGCAATCCCATTACTGGGCATCTACCCAAAAGTGCAAAAGTCACTCTATGAAAAAGACACCTGCACTCAAATGTTCATAGCAACACAATTCACAATTGCAAAGATGTAGAAACAACCCAAGTGTCCATCAATACATGAGTGGATTAATAAACTGTGGTATATGTATACCATGGAGTACTACTCAGCTTTAAGAAACAATGGTGATATAGCACCTCTTATATACTCCTGGAAAGTGCTGGAACACATTCTACTAAGCGAGGTATCCCAAGAATGGAAAAACAAGCACCACATGTACTCACCATCAAATTGGTATTAGCCGATCAACATTTAAGTGCACATACTAGAATAACATGTATTAGATGTTGGGCAGGGGGAGGGGGAAGAGGGGAGGAGAGAGCAGGGGACGGGCATATGCACAAACAATGAGTGCGATGCGCACCTCCGGGGGAATGGACACACTTGAAGCTCAGACTTGTGGGGGAGGGAGGGTAAGGGCATCATACGTAACCTAATCATCTGTACCCCCATAACATGCTGAAATAAAAAAATAAAGAAACAATGGTGAAAAAAAAAAAAAAAAAAAAAGAGGAATTTGAAGAGCTACCTTTTGCATAATCAAAAAGGAGTAACAGGGATACACTCTTTTTTTTTCTTAGATCTAAAACTTTAAGCTAACATAACCGTTATAATTCACCTTCACTCTTATAAAACATATCTGAAAAGAATGAAAATGAGTCCAGAAATACACACAAATTCAGTGTCAAAAGTGGTAATGTACTTTCTAAGCCTGGTTTCTTTTATGGCTGAACAATACAGTAGCATTTACCGTGTGATGACAGATAAAATGCCCAACTACCCTATCTTCGAAATCTCTCTATTGTTTTTGACATCAAACTTTGAGTCAGTTTTAAATCTTGCTCAGTATTAATACACTATTTCATACCCGTGTCTGATGATTTAATAACATGCCACTGGGCTGAAACGTCTGGAACCCAAACGAGGCCTGGAAGTGGTCAGGCGATGGGAAGTCCAAATTAGTGAAACTCAACTGTCCTCCTCTGGAGAACGAGGCCGATCGCACAAGCTGAAATGCAAACACGGAGTGTGTTACTCCCATTGTAATCATTTCATGGCTGAAATACAGAATCTTACCCTATATCACTTTACCCAAACTGATTATTAATAATATGATTTATGTAGCCTCAGAAAGAAGCAGAGTTTGCTTTTCTGCATCATAAGTCACCAATCAGCTGTAAATTTTTGTGTGTATAGTTGGCATTCCTACTCTCCTACCAATTTAATATGCAAACCTGAAGAGATTCAGTACATTGCAAGTACGTGGGGAGTGTATATGAGCCAGTTCATGATAACATTTTTTGCTACCAGAGAAGAGTCAGAAATTGTGTTAATGAATGTGTAAGATGGACTGGTTGGGAAGCCCTCCTTTGCAAGGTTCTGAACCCTTCTCTTACCTTCCAGTCCTCCGAACACTTTTTGGTTACTCCCACAGTATCATTCAACCTCACAACACCACTGGTTTTCTTCAGATTTTTCATGCAGCCTCGGAAAGCAGGGGTAGAAATGTTAAACCTGATTAGGAATACAAAAAAAGAAGTGATGGATCATGCCACGGTCACCAGAGAATCGGAGTGAAACCCTCTGTACCTTCTGGTATTTCTCACCCATAAACAAATATGTATTCACGGTTATCCATTCCCATGGGATTCATATGGTGCTGCTTATTTTATGATGCATGGAAAATCTACTTCCTTTCTGTGTGACTCTGAATTTCCAGCTTTAAAAATTCAGGCAAGAACACTGACAGAAGAATGGTCAGGGTCCCCAAAACGTACAGAGACAGGGAAGATGCACAATATCTAGAAGCGCCCACCTCCCTGAGTCATGGCATTGCATGGTGGATAGGAAGTTTACTAATAAGTTAATATACTATATATTACATAAATATAAATCAATAAACAAACAAATAATTTACAAGAACCAGGAATGCCCTAGAAAACTTTTTGCTCTTTTTTTTTTCTGTTCACTTTTAAGTTAGCCACTGTAAACTCAGAAGAAACAGAGTGTTACTTTTAGTTCTAGTCAGTTATGAAAAATGTGGCTTGATTTAGCCAATGCCAAGCTGAAACAGTGGAAAGAGTTGTCTGGGTTCTTCTACTGTATCCTCTACCTCCTAATTGCATGACCTGGCCAAGGGCTATAGAGAGGGTTAAGCAAGTTAATGTACAACAAGAGCTTGGGACAGTGCATGGCACATAGGTGTGAATACTGGGGAGTGTTTCTGAGTCAAAATAGTGCTGCTCTGGAGCCAGACTGCCTAGGTTCAAGTTCTGCCCCTGCTGCTTGGGCAGGCAATTTAACTTCTCTGTACCTCTGTTCCCTCACTGATACAATGGGAATATGTTAATCGTTTTCACAGGGTTGTCATGAGTTTAAATAAGTTAATATATTAGTATGTAACACACTCAAATACTGCTTGGTACAGAGTGAGGACTCAATGTGAGACTTCTGGGTTAGTAACTTTCCCTATATTACTGCTATTATTACAATGAGAGCAATTTTTATAGCAGCTCTTCCTACATGGCGCTGTGGCATTTCCCCTTTGATTTGACTTCTGAATCTGGCTGGATCTGAATTCACATAAAGCATTAACACACATGAACTGACTGAAGTCCAGGCAAATATTTGTGTTTCTCAAACAAATGATGTACTAAGAAAATCAAAGTTGATTTCATTATAAATCCCTAAGGCAGCTCACTTTTCTAAATGGAAAGGTGTCTGCATTCATTTAATCCAATTCATTATAAACAGTTGAGCTACATGTAATATGCATAAAATTAAATCTCATTAAAAGGAAAAGGAAGAAACAAATCCTCACTGGCATTACAGTACGAGCTTAATTACTTTATAAAGACGGCTTTCTGCCTCAGAAGAGAAGGAAAGTTCATTTTAATTCCTGGAACTTGTCTATTTATACATAGTTTTAGATCCATTCTCTCTTGAGTTTCAACATATCTCTTGGACATCAACATCCCCACATGTCCCTCTCTCCGTAGATTATTGGTCAAAGAAAGAAGGTGGCAGAAAAGGGAAAGAGGGGAAAGGTAGTCAGCAGATACAGAGCACCTATTTTGCACTTGGTACTATTACTCCATCCTTATAATAAGCTTTTGAAGGAGATATTTTCTTATGTAACACTTACTGAGCACTTACTATGTGCCAAGCACTGCGCTAATTCCTTCACACACTTTAAATCCTCCCAATCACCCTAAGAGATAGGCAGTCACTATGTCCCTATTACAGATGTAGAGGCTAGCTAGAGAGGCCAGGGACTCTATATTATTACATTTAATTATATAAAATCAAGCTTACTGACAATTCATAACTGGCCATCCATGGCTGAATTGCTATTTAATATAACATTAAATATTAATACCTCCACTTAGGCTCTCAATGTCTTCACTTGTAAAATTCAAGGGTCTGCAAGGTCCCTTTAAGTTCCAAGAATCTAAGGAGTCAAGATGCTCACCCCAAACTCTGTTAAAGTGCTAAGCTCTCCCTCCCGCATCTTTGTCTTTGGGGGCAACCCTGACAACTTTAAAACGCAGATTAGTGTCTCCTTACTAAGGATGCACAGATGCCCACAGGCATAAGGATTCTAGAAGAAAGGATCCCTTTGTATGACACCTTATAGATCACATCTAATACTCCTTCCAACTGATTTATAAATTAGAAAAAGAGTTAACTAGCTTCAGATCTCATATAAAAGTAATCATCATCGAACATTCTGGGAGTGCTCTTAGCTGAGTTGTGAGGCTGTACTAACCCTTCCAGGATATCCTCAGCTACTTAAAAGCCTTTTGGGAAGATACAAATTAACAAAATGTAAAAATTATTTTTGAATGCATTCTCAAAGTGGTATTTTTTTTTCATTCAGATTAAGCTTTACTGCCTTTCAAATTAATTTGATTCCAAGAAATAGTTAGGCACCTATTCCATGCTTGGTAGCATGTGAGGGGCAGGTAACACAGATGCGAAGGGGACATAGTGTCCCATACCCAGCTTGCGGTGCCTGGATTTTGGGACGCTCATGCTCTCCTCTACTGCCTTTAAGGGCCCAGGGCCACAGCCTCCTTTCTACTAGTTAACAGCGTTGTCAGCTCAGCTATATTCTTTGTGGTCTCTCTCCTCCCCAGAATGAAAATGGGGATGTCACACAGTTCCCCCAACCTCCCCCATCCAATGCCCAGTCTCAGTATTCAGGATTTACGTTTTGTTGACTACTCTGTTCATACTGAAAAGTTAACTTTTTGTGTGTGTTTATTGCTGGAATTAAAAAAGGTAGACTAGGTTTATTGGTAGCAATCATAACCACTATGACAGGCAATCTGCTTTTTTTTTCTTAAATAAAAAAAAAAAAACCACATCATCTTACCTTTCCCTGATCGCAATTGGAATTCCTCCCAGATAATATGTGCTGAAATCAAATATTTCACCTTCAATCTTAATGTTTTGAACATTCACACTTATCCACATAAGTTTTTGGGCTTTTCCAATTTTGATCTGAATCTGAAATAAATGAGAGATGAGTCAGCAAGCAATGGGAAATAAAAGAATCCTATTCACAGTGGTTCACAACTATTATGTTTTTATTTATCTTCCTCCAGAATCATTTATTTACATAGTAGGAAGACTCTGAGCAGTAGTATTTTTGGATAAAAATATGATACTAAAGCATTTTTAAATAGTTATTTACTTATTTATTTATATATTTATTTACTTATTTTTTAGAGAGATGGTCTTGCTCTGTCACCCAGGCTAGAGTGCAGTGGTGCAATCATACTTCACTGCAACCTTGAACTCCTGAGCTCAAGTGATCCTCCTGCCTCAGGATCCCAAATAGGCAGGACTATAGGAATGTGCCACCATGTCCTGCTAAGTTTCTAAAAATTATTCATAAAGACAGGGTCTCACTATGTTGCCCAGACTGGTCTTGAACTTCAAGCCTCAAGCAATCCTCCTGCCTGGGCCTCCCAAACTGCTGGGATTCCAGGCGTGAGCCACTGTGCCTGGCTTAAAACTTTTTAATAGAAATGTTGGCATTTGAAATTAACCATGTTTTATATATGTTATATATATAAATAAAATATATTTTATGCATAAATATGTACATTTTAAAAGGATGTGTCCCTCAGTTAATAGCTACAAGTTCATCTGGAAATACAAAGTGTTTTTGGGCAGGGTGAGGCACTGGCTTAATTTTAAAAGACAAAGGGCATTTAATAATTCAAGGAAGCAGACTCAAAGGACATACCGAATGGTCCTTCCCGTTGTTTATGATGTCTTTAATTCCTTTTTCTTTTGGTGGCTCTGAATTCAGTTTGTATCTCACCATGAGCCTGCCATCTTCTATACTTAGAGATATGAAGCGATCCTAGAATATGTAAACAAGGTTAGATTACCAGGAGATGCAGCTAAAGAGGAGCCAGAGCCTTGGAACTCAAGTTACCCTGATGTCACAAACTGTGCTCAGCGTGGGCTGCCTCCTTAGTTGAAAGGGATGATAGTGCTGTAATATCTAAGTCATGGGATGAGTATGACGGTTATATTGTGAGTCATGTTAAACATCAGGTACCGTGGTTGACACATGGGACAGACACACATGCTAGCTATTACCATGATTTTGTTTCAGACAATCCATAACCAGCATGCAAACATGGAAACTGCAAAGATACAGATCATTAATATTGTTCACAAATATGAGTGCTACCCTTTGGAGAGAGAGATGGTCTTACTGAAACCCCAGCTACCTTCCACCATCTGGTTTCTGACTTATTCCTGTGTCTCAGTCTCATCTTCTGGCTCATCCCCCTCCCCCTCCACTGCAGTGTTGGGGGTTCCTTGGGGACCCTGCATGGGGCTCCTTCCTCCTCACACCACTCCCTTTGCCTTGACGATCACAAACACTCCTGTGGCTCCAATCCCGGTGCACCCACAAAGCCCAGATGTTTCTCTCCAGCCTGGACCTGCCTTCTCACGGCCAGGTGTGTACATCTGATTCCCTTGTTGTTATTGTTCTTGCTTGCATAACTCACAGACACTTCAAACTCAGAATATCTCAAACGGAATTTATGACCCACAGGGCTCCCACAGGCTGCCAAGCCTGCCTCCTTCCTTTACCCCACACGTGTGCTTCCTCCCTCCCTGCACCTCTCTCTCTCTCTCTCTCACACACATACATACACACACACACACACACACACATGTGCACATCACCTTGTAGTGCAAGTCACAAACCTAGGAGGCGTTCTTGATCCTTCCCTCTCTCCCATCTGATCAAATCTTATGAATTTTGCCATTTCTTAACTCTCTCTCCATTTCCCCACAGCCAGTCTCAGTCACAAATGTCTCGTGCCAGACTGTACAGCAATAACCCACTGGTCTCCCCTCATCCCCTCCGGAATCCATTTCCCTTCCGCGGAGAGAGTGGTCTTTCGAAAACGCCAGCATGAGCACATTACTTTCTGTGGCTCTCGGGATCAAGCCCTGACCCCCTGGCAGATGCTGTGAGGCCCCAAGCTTGCAGCTTCGTTTCTTGGTGCTCCCTCTCACAGGCCACCATTCAGTCCCCTGCGTGCTCCCTCCCCCTGCCGGGAACCCCCTCTGCCCTGTCCCCCTGTCCCTGGACAAATGCTGTCTTCTACTTGGCCTCCAGGTCTCAGATGAAGCATCCTTTGCTCAAAAAGTCTTTTATGTTATATATCCTCATTTTAGCCCTAATTTTTCCTCTATACCACTCCTCACAATTGTCATGAATTAACCTATTAACAGCCTACCTTTAACAACCGTCTTACTCTCTAGACTGTAAGTCCTTGAGGGCAGGAGCCGTGTCTGTCTTGGGCATTGCTGCACCCCCACACGGTGCAAAACATATACCTGGATTAGCTACGTCCTCAGTGGGAACATGAGCTGAGGAATGTCTGACTTAGGGCTTGAAGGTTTTGCTCTTACATAGTTCCCTAAAGATAAGAATGCCTCTCTTTGAAGTCCAAGGTCAGAGTCCTTAACTAAAAGGAAAATCAGTCCTTATCTGGACCCTAAACCTTGCCCTTGGGTTAGGGTTCATGATTTATGAACAATGGTGTAACACCAACTTCCGCACATTACTCAGCAGCTCTTTGGACCATTTCTTATGTAATTAAATTATGTAAGTTTTATTCTAATATAAATAGTATGTCTGGTTCTTAGTCTCCAAGAACTTCAAAATATAGTACAAAGAAGACCTTGTTTTGGAAAACAACCACCTTGCCCTGAAGATGCTGTGTGATCTCTCAGCTCTCTTTGGGCTGGTTGGGACCTTCCCAAATCATCAGAACTGGTCCAGCCATGGAATCTCCTGAAGAGTCCACCGAACCAGGTTGTGTTCGTGACTTGCAGGTAGAAGGGCCTGGTAAAATCCCAGGTTCCAAATCAATCCCATGTTCTCAGACCAGAGAGTCTACGGGCTGATGCACATTTCTCCAGAAATATTCCCTGTGACAGCAACTCCGTAAGCTCCTATTCTCCGCAGGGTTCCAAGGAGCCCGGGCAAACATCACACCACCTCTCCATCAACCAGCAGATGGTGCTGATGATCACCGGTAGAGTGTCACTTTGGCCCTCTCTAACCTAATAGATTTAAGGATGATCCCTAGGAACCTCAGCTGCTTGAAAGTAGAGAATCTTCGGTATCTTGAAGTCAAGCATCAGGCTCATAAAGGTGCAATCCCATACGGCGTGGCAAGAGTCAGACCAAGATGGAAAAAGCAGGAAGTCAAACAATCTCGATCTCAGAGATCCCAGGAGGCAGAATAAGCAGACTATTAGGCAAGCAGTAGTTTCCAAAGAATAAAACTGACAATGAGCATAGGACAGGAAGAGGGGAGATTTCTCCCACATGTTGGTGGCATGTTGTCAAATTCCTGATTTAAAGGCACACATCCTCATTAAAATGCACACTCTCCAGCCAACAGAATGAAAGTACACTTGGGCCTAGGAAAAAGATGTAGGTAACATTTGCACATTGTTTTTCAGACCTAGTTCGTGGTTTATAACAACCTAGTTATCCCAAAATTGCTGAATAGAATGGATATATTTGGTAGTAGTTGGATACTTGTTATAAATTACCTGGTTTTCTGCAAAGAACAGCAAACCTTTATCCACGGTAGTCTGAATTGTCTGTCCAAAGGTTGGGAAGGGAGCATTTGGTAGAGTTGGAACTCGAGCATAGCCTGTACCTTCAAAATAATTTTTGTCTGACTCTTCCTTTCTCCTGTCAACATCAACCACCATAAGTCAGAATACAGAAGCAAAGGATCCCCACCAAGTGTGCTTATTCATACGAGATGCTGCTCTCCAAAAAACGGAGTTTAAGAATATGCAATCCGGTTGTCACAATTTTGTTAAAGCAGAGGACATATCTTTAAAATGTTAAAATAGCCAGCTTTTCCTCTTCGATGTGCTCTTAACATTTTATGACAATCAACCCCTACCTCAACAAAGGTAATATTCAACAGTCCCTTTTGGAAATGTCTAATTAGGAAGATGTAGCCTTCGAGCCACATCTTAAAATGTGAGAAATTATTAACTTGCAATATAATTTTGTTCTGAGTAATAAATACTTAGTCTGCCTCATATTAGAATAGTCCAAATTTGTTTAATTGCAGAGAAGTAGGAGCTCAAGGCAGCAATTTTCAAAAGGTTCAGAAAGGCAGAGTACCTATAAAATCATGGTACACTTTGTGGATTACTGTCTTTTAAAATGTACAGTAAATCTATAATTTTGTGCCTAAATCAGGTACCATAGAACATTGAATATTTTGTAGTAGGAAGCACCAAAATTTTAAGAAAAGCTTATTTTTAAAAAACTTGAGAAAACTCTATCAATCTCGTATTTTATACAAATTAGTAAAAGACTGCCATTATTAGATTTCAGGATGGACTGCCAATGTTGCAGGCAAGGATAATTTAAAAACTACTGGCCCAAAGCAACCAGCGACATCAACAGTATCTCGCTGGCCCATCCCTTTATTATATGTAAAAGTACCGCAAGTGACCAAAACTCCAGTTATAGAGACACTAGTTTCTAGGTTTTATTTACCTTCTACAAGGCTCTACTTCAGTTGTGTTGAGATTGAAAGTTTTTTTGAAGTTATACAAGCTCAGAACATTTTCATTGAGGTCATCTAATTCAATACAACCTTTGTATGGAGGGAATCTTAGTCTACTGGGAAGCTGAAAATGAAACAAAACAAAACATCTTCCAATAATAGAACAAAGCACAATAATCAGATTGATTAGAAAAAAATAGTATAAATCTATCACTTTTATCAATCAATACAGCATAAGCGTTAAGAATGTGGACCCTGGAGCCAGATGCTCTGGCTTTGATATTTACTGGCTGTATAACCACAGGCAAGTTATTAAACCTCTCTGCCTCAGTTTCCTCATCTGTAAAATGGGAATGATAATGATACTTATTTAAATTAATATACTTAAGCTTAGAACAGTGTACAGAGGAAGTATTCAATAAGTGCTAGCTATTGTCACTAGAATGTGCTTTAAGAATGTATAGTTAAATCCATTCTATATGGAATTAATAATTAAAATAGAGACCAAATTAAAATTTAAACATTTTCACTCAGTGAAAAACCATTTGTACTTACTTTAAAATCAGGTGGGTAACCTCCAACATAAAATACAACATTTTCAGGATCCAAATTAAGAAGCATATTGCTGTTTCCGCTATCCATGTCATGGAACTGGGGTATTTCCGGTTTGCTGGATGTGGCTCCTTTGGTGTAATTAAGCCTTGCGAACTGATAAATTCTGTTTAAAAAAGAAATTAGATAATAAAGTTTTATGAAAAAAATTAAAAAATTCAAAGCCAAGACACTAAAAATGGGGTTTAGCAACACGTTAAAAAAAAGTTTGGTGCGTGTAGGTCAGGTTCACAAAGAGCAAGAGTCGATGGGACTTTTACCGCTGGAATTTCACCCGGTCCATAACCGCCTCCTGAGTTTCGCTCTCGGTCAAGATCTGGTTCACTTGGAGTTCAGCCTCGCGCTCCCCCAGGTTGTAGACACACCTGAGCTCGCCGTCTACGACGGCCATGCCAATGTAGTCCTTGGAGGCCTGAACACAGAAAAGCCATCTCAGAACACTTCACACACTATGTTCTCTCGACGTTCCATCCCAAGAAGATGCATTTCAAATAGCTAATGGGTTTTATGCAATAAGCCTTGGGCAGACAGAATAAATGAGGTGTATCCTTTTATTGAATAATACAGAAAACTCAATTAATAATGTCTGAGCTGTCTTTGCTCATGTTATGGTGCACTCATTTATTCATTCCTCCATGTACTCAATCTACAAATATCTGCCAAGCATCTGCCATAAAGAGGGACCAGACATGGACTCAGTTGTCCATTAGAGTTTAGTCTGGTAAGGGAGGTCAGCCATTTTTGTTCTCCCAGTACCATACAACCTTCGCTTTAACACCTTGTGCATGCCTCTGTTATAACACCTCTATGTTATCATGGCCATTTACATACATATCTTTCTTCCCTGCTATAACATGAGCATATCAAGGGAGAAACAAAATGATTTTAAATTGTGATAAAATATACATAATATAAAATTTACCATTTTAACCATTTTTTAAGTGTACGTTGGCATTAAGTACATTCCAGAAATAAATTTTTGTTTATCATAAATCCACGATGTGGCATATAGTAGTTATATGGTATAAATTTGTTGAAGGAATAAAGTAATATGCATTTTGCCACAATATAAAGCAAAAAGTCACGACATAAGAAACCTACAAATAAAGTACCAACACTTTGAAGCATGAAAGGGTAATTAATAATAATGTTGATCTTAAGAATCTTTAAATGCAATGTCCATTAGTGAGAACTAACAGTTTCCTAATTGGGAAGAATTTTTTTGTTTGTTTGTTTGTTTTTTTGAGACAGAGTCTCACTGTGTTGTACGGGCTAGAGTGCCGTGGCGTCATCCTAGCTCACAGCAACCTCAAACTCCTGGGCTCAAGAGATCCCCCTGCCTCAGCCTCCTGAGTAGCTGGGACTACAGGCATGCGCCACCATGCCCGGCTAGTTTTTTCTATATATTTTTAGTTGTCCAATTAATTTCTTTCTAATTTTAGTAGAGACAGGGTCTCGCTCTTGCTCAGGCTGGTTTCGAACTCCTGAGCTCAAACAGTCCACCCGCCTCGGCCTCCCAGAGAGCTCCCAGGCGTGAGCCACCGCGCCCGGCCTGGGCAGAATTTTTAAGAACATTTCGGACATTTCTTTTCCAACAACTGTATCCTAACCTAGTCAGTGATTAGCTTTTCCTCTAACAGGTAAGTCAAAGAAATGTATTTTAAAAGGAGGGATTAAAAGCTAACACCAACCATTCAAAATGCCTGTAACAAGAATTTAGAATTTAGAATAATGAAGAGATGGGGCAACTGCATTTCTTATTGGTTAGGCAGGAAAGGGTTCATTCCACTTCAGTCCTCATCCTTGGATCTCCCCATCCCACAGACTTGAGGAAGGGTCTGCGGCCGGGCATTCTGAGGAAGAGGACAGGGTCATAATTCCGTGAGGAGGAACTACTGCTGACTTCCATGGAGCCTTGATACTGCTGCCCTGGTAGTGTGGTGCCAATCATCCTTCCCACATGTGTGTGTCCTCATGTGTATACATATATGTGCTCACAGCTGGGCCCACTGGGTAAAGCCTCTCAATCCGCCAGCAGCTAACAGTCCATGATGCAGCGGAGGCCCCTCGTGGGTGCCGCCACAGCGGGGAGGTGAGCAGGAGGCAGTGGGACTTGCTGAGGTCTTGGTGGGATTTCCACCTGCTATGCTAATGGCAATGACACAGCTGTGCCACACACCTCAAAAGTACACATCTCAAAAAACATATTCTGCTTTTAACAAGAGAGATATCCAAGCAATACTTACATCTTTATTTCCCAGGTACATGACAAACATATTCTCAGTCCCCCCGTTTTCTCTGGAGTCAGGTCTTTGGAGAAACAGAGACAGAGATGTGTATCCTTTCAAATCTTCCAGGTCATTTGGCATTCGGACTTCGACGCCAGATTTACCATTGAACCTCATGGGGACAGCGACCTGTGAGGAATGAGTTACATGATTGTCAAACACTCTCCTGTGAAGAAAGTGGGTGTGCTCAGAGAGGTATTTTGTGACTTCATAGCCATCCCTCTTAACTACATATCAGCCTTTCCCACATTGTTACAGTAAGGAGCAAGGGAGTATGAATGTCTCCAAGACCTGAATTACAAATTCATGAAACCGTTTCAGGATCTGGGTAATAAAGCATTCATGTTCTTCTTGTTTATTAGCCAGGGGTCTTTGAAAAGTGCATTTAATCCTCTGTGCCAGCAATAATAATAATGACAATACTAATAACAATGATAATTACAGCCCTAGAAGGTTTTTGTGCAGATGAGCTAACATCTTTGCAAGCACTTGGCATGGTGCCTGGCATATAGTAAATATGTCATACCTAAAAAATATTTTTAAAATGCACTTTTAAAGGAACTGTTTCCCATGACTATATTACATGTTATGGTTTCCTTTATTACAGGTATTCAGTCCTAAAAAATGAGTGCATCAAAGCTCTTGAAAACAGTGCTTCTTAAACTCTCTATGGTGAAGGACCATTTTTTTCCCCTCCAGTCTGTCATGGATACCTTTGTAAAATACATTAAAAATTAAATTACTAAAAAAATGTAATAAAGGTCATATACAAAATGCAAGCCCACCGACCACAGGCTTGCATATTGAGATGATTCAAATTATTAAAAGCTTTCAAACATTTACTCTCAACTTTATACTTATATATAATGGACCAGTTACAAAAATTCTCTGACTAGTGCTGGTCTGTGGGCCAAGCTTGGTCTAAAACACAAAAGATAAATATTCACTAACAATCAAAAGAATAATACTCCCAGAATGAGACATACACCAAGTCCACATTTTATCTAGTAAGTATTTAAATTTTTATCAAGGATCTTGTATATGTAAGGCATTACTCAGAGGGCTTGGCAATGGGGACCCTCATTTATGGGCTCATTTTATGCCTCTCTCTTCTACTCACCCTCTGCCCTTCAGCATGCCCAACCACATCTCGGCATCTCTTCGTGGCACACCCTTCTGCTTTGTAGCACCAAGCAAATTCCTATTTGTTCTTTTTAATTTTTTTTTAATTAAGAACATACTTTATGTATACCAAAAAAATATGGAGAATATACTTGTATCTGCATCACCATCTTAAGAAAGGAAACATTCCTGGTATAACTGAAGCCTCTTGTCCACATTCCCCTCTCTCCCTTGTCAGAGGTCACCACTACTCTGGATTTGAATTCCCATGGAAATTTTAATATTTTTTACTAAATATGTATTTATCTAGAAACCATAACTAGTCTTATTTTTCATGTTTTAAATATTTTTATATACATGGTATCCATCTGTGCACATCTACCTAAACTTGCTTTCTTTGCTGGGCACTATGTTTTTGGATTTATCCATATTGATACACATGGCTAGAGTCACTCACGTTTACTATTATAAATGCATGGCTCTTTTCCAAAAAAACGTTTTGTGATTATAAACCACGTTGTAATGAACATTCTTATACATGTCTGTTAGTGCTATTCATTTGCACTATTCTGAGCCTCTGCAGGTAGAAGTGGGTGTTTCCAAGATACACATTACATACCTCTATCCAGCTTCTTAGCAGAGTCTAAGAAACCACCTGTGGCAGCTGGTGAACAACCTGAGTTCAGGACGAGGACTTAGTAACATCTGTGTCCTCATTACCCAAAGGAGTGCTTGTGCAGACTAGGTGTTCAAAAGCACTTGGCTATTTTTTTTTTATTTTATGTTTTCTCACTAACATAGCACTTACTATTTGCCGGCCACTGTTCCATGGTAGCTCATCTAATAATCTAACAATCACATGAGGCTGGTACTGTTATTTATCCTACTCTACAGATGAAGACATGGAGGCACAGAGAGGTGAAGTGTCTGGCCCACAGTCCCACAGCTCACAAGTGACAGAGCAAGAATTAAAACCAAGAAAGTCTGACTTGATTAACTAGCTTTCAACCACTGTGCTAGAATACACGTCAAATTTTGTTGAATATATTAACGAATGAACACAGAAGGGCAAAAGCTAGAATACATTCTTATTCACGTGGTTTTTATAAAGCATGTATGGGTATGAAGAAGGTATTTTCTTCCAAACTTTGCCTCATGTTCTTTGTTTTCCTGGTAAAGGTTTTATGTTGGGAACACTTTTCTTTCCTAGAAGAAAGGGCAGAATCTGAGGCTCCAAAGAAGTAATATTGAGCGTAGGAAATTAACCACGATGTCTCCAGGGCAGTGATATTCTGACTTGGCTTCCTAACTCTCTCCCTCCAAGTATCACAGACAGAGCTGGCTAGGAACTGTTGAAAAACACAAGAAATTCCATGTATACTATTTTAGGACAAACAAATCATAAGAGATGACCATCAGAAACTCAATCAGGTTAAAATGAGAAAGGCTAATGAATCAGTGCTTCAGTGGTGGGAAATTGGTGTAATCCCATGGCTTCCATCCCCAACAAAGACAATTCCACAACTTCCAAGTTACAATGAGAGAGCAGTGCAATATCATACTTGCAATTTCTGACCACAGAACCCTCACTTGAACTTGCAGTAACAGTTTACCAACTGGGGCCTAGAAGAAAATCCTTTCTGCCTGAATAAACTCAACAGAAGGAAACCACTTCAGGTCTCTGGCACACCAGATAATTTAGGGTATGAAGGTCATGTGCACTTTTAAAGGATGACAGGAGGAAATCAACCTTTGTAAATTAAGCAATCAAAGAATAAGGTCAAGAAAGACAATCAATTCTTGAGTAAATAAGTGCCTTTCTTTTCTTGATGAATGTGGTAACTCATCAAAAAACTAGCCTCAGCTGTGGACCACGTGGGGACACCCACCTTATTGGCAGCATCTCTGGCCTGCTGAATTAGTTCTCGTATTCTATCCACATTGTCAGAGATGTTTCCCAGGGGCAACAGCTGTTGGTTGATAGTTTCAATCTTGCTCAAAAGATCAGGCAGTTTGTTGGTTAATTTCTTCACTGTTGGTAAGATCAGAAGATAGAAATTTAAAATTGTGCATTGTGAAGAGGTTAAATGCAGATGTTCTTACTGACAGTATTTATCAAGTGAAATGTTTAGGCCTCAAATATTGAAGAGGATGGATCATAATCAAGTGCAATAGTCCACCTGTTACCCAGTTTCACTTTCCAAGGTTACTTGCCATTAACCGTGGTCTGAAAATATTACATGAAAATTCTAAAAATAAACAATTCGTAAGTTTTAAATTGCATGCCTTTCTGAGCAGCAGGATGAAATCTCACACATTACCACCTAGGACACAAATGATCCCTGTGTCCAGAGTATCCACACTGTCTATGCTATCCACCCATTAGGCACTTAGTAGCCGTCTGGTTATCGGCTAGAAAAAACAGTATATACAGGGTTCAGTTCTATCCATGGTTCCAGGCATCCATTGGGATTCTTGGAACAAATCCCTGAACTACTGTACATTGTGGATTTTATTCTGCAATCTAGGTACCAAATCCTTTTCCTCGATCACTACAGGAAAAAAAACTTTGTTCTCTGATTCTTAATGTCAATCATAATTCAATGCCTAATGATTCAGAAACCTATATCTTCACTCTATAAAAAAGAAAATCAATAGTGTTATCAATGGATTAAAATTTTAAAATATCCTATCTGGTTCTAACTGATAGAATATCTATACTCAAAGAGTTTGAATATATCTCTTTCCTATGTTTTAATTTCTGATATCAGATTTTATCAGGGAAGAATTGAAATGGACCAAAGCACATGACAATGGAGAGAATGGCTAAGATATCCCCACCAAAGAACGCCTGATACCTGAGTTATCTGCGTCAGTCAGAGCCTTGTTGAAGTCTTCACTCTGAGTGGTCCCATAGGTATCCTTAATTCTTTCCACATCTGTCTGAATGGGGTTGAGCCCATCCAGAACCTCATTTGTGATATCGGTTGCCTTTCTGACCATGCTCTTCGCACTACTGAGCATACCATCGATGTCACCTAACACACACACAAACAGCGAGGTTTAAGTGTCTCAAATGTTCAACTAAAGAAGCCAAGTACAGTGGGTTAGGAAGATGCCAACCTCTCTGTATCCCACGAAGATCATCTCGGACAGTTGTGAGATTGGTGTCTATCAGTTCTTTCTGAACTGTCACAATATTCAGGGTTTGCTGTAGGTTGTTGAGAGCTGGAATGGTTTCTAAAATAAAATAAAGCATCAAGAGGCAATTACTTTGTGCATTTTGATCTCCATTGGTATTTGGAGTAGACAGTGTTTGCACAGTATTGAGGAGACTTACTTCTTAGGGTCATCTCAGAGATGCCCACTGCACGTGTCCAGACCCACAGCTCTGGGATCCTCTGGTTACAGAGACCAGAAGCACATCAGAGCCTTGTGGCAATGGGCTCCTTGGAAATGCACAAGAAGAAGAAAGAGAGACCAAATAACTTGGGGAAGGCTAAACTTCTACTCTGCTCAGAGCAAAAGACTGTGCTTAGTGAATGTCTTATCCATTACTGTGTCCTAGCACATAGCACCGGGTCTGGCACTAGTCAGGGCTTAGTATTAGTACATATTTGTTGAATAAATGAATATAGGAATGAATGAACAAATGAATGAATAATGCAGAAAGGATGCCTCCTCAGTCAGATGACAAGAGAGGAGTGCTGGTGAGAGACCCTCTTCCAAGCAAATATAGACACAGAGTAAGCATTGTTTGTTTCAGCTCATTTCCAAACTGACATATTTTTAAAATCTCATGAGAGAGAATGAGCTAGCAGCCATTCCCAGCTGATAATATTGCCATCCTTGGGTCACCAAAAATGACCAGAAAATACTCTAAGACCATATTGATGATATATGACTTTACATAGATAAATTTTGATTCCAGACTGATTAACATAGCAACACAGTAAGCATCCTAACCCTATTTAAAACACTGAGCCTACTTCAAAGCTCAAATTTTTAGAGAGCAACAGATGTCATAACAGGAAATCTGAATTCTTGAAATTTTTTAGACAAATGATTGTGTGTTAGTAAATTTTTTTGTATTTCATTTTTCATGTATTTAATTTTTTAAAATGTGAAAGAAAGAATGAAGGAAAGGAAGGAAGGAAGGAATTAATTTACAAAGGCATCATCTAATCCCTCCAAAAGGACTAAGAGGTTGAGTGAGGGCAGTGGGCTCATGAATGACCACAAGAGACCAGAGAAACTTATTAAGAGACAGCATTTTCAGAACACAGGAATTTGGTGAGATTGAGACAGTTTAATTATTTAGAAAACATTAAATAAAATATATGAAAAATTTCCAAAGATAAAATTTGTGCTTAAAAATTCTTGTGCTTCACAGTGGTAGTGATTTTTGGGACATTTAATTGCTAAGATTTTTGGATGTAAGAAATTTTGAGGCTGGCTGTGGTGGCTCATGCCTGTAATCCCAGCACTTTGGGAGGCTGAGGCAGGAGGATCACTTGAGGCCAGAAGTTTGACACCAGCCTGGGCAACATAGTGAGATCCCATCTAAAAAAAAAAAAATTAGCTGGGCATGGTGGTGTGCTGCGCCTGTAGTCCCAGCTTCCTGGGAGGCTGAGGCAGAAGGATTGCTTGAGCCCAAGAGTCAAGGCTGCAGTGAGCTATGATGATGCCACTGCACTCCAGCTTGGGCGACAGAGCAAGACCCTGTCTCTAAGAAAAAACAAAACAACAAAAGAAACTTTGAAGCAGCTGCTCTAATGATGCAAAACTAATGATCTTGATATGTGAGTTCCCAATGCCATGATCATAAGTGAATTGAATTTAAATAGCTCCTCCCCCCAAGGCCAGGCCAAGACAGGCCTATTAATATTTATAAGGCTCCAGTTAATTTCCTGTATGATGGGTGGAAGATATTTAGAATATTGGGTGGATGCATGATATTGATAAAATAAATCATGGATTTAATTTGCATTGACACTGAGATTCAAAAAGAGCATTTGCTTCTAGGGCTGTCCATCCTGTCCCATGGGTCATTTAAAGCCAGCCCCTGTCTATGCCTACCACTGCCCACCACTGCCCACCAATACCTTGCTGTAGCTTCTTCTGTGTTATCTTGGCTTCATTTAACAGTTTATCACTGTCCGAACTCAGGGTTTTAGCTTTTCTTGGAAGAGCTTCCTTTATCACTGTCTGAAAGCAAAGCATTTATTAGCCTTAAACACATCCCGTATCTTAGGAAATACAGAGTAAGTTTTTTCATCCTAGACTAAACCCTCACCTTTAATCGTTAAAGGATGAAGTTCACAGGGAGAAGGGAGTTAGAAGTAGACTGTTCTCTAAAAGATACAGGTAGGGGTCTAGATAGACATACATGGCTTGGGGAAGTGGACCTATTATTAATTTAGGCTCAAAATCAATAATCAGTGTAATTTCTATCTGGTTTCACAAACAGTTTTTAAACTGTGCTACAGACATGAGATGGTCAAATTCAGAAATTACTCATATCTACAGAAAGATATAGGTAATTTATTCTATTTAAATGGTATTTATTCTATTTAAATGTAATTTCTATCTGGTTTCACAAATAGTTTTTAAACTGTGCTATAGATATGAGACGGCTAAATTCAGAAATTACCCATATCTAGAGCAAGATATGGGTAATTTATTCTATTCTATTTAACAAGTTCTGATATAAAATGATACTTTTTTATATCCCTCAGTGCACACGGAAAGAAAATAAGAAAACGGGCTGTCTTCAGAGCCAATCTAGATAAGCTGCCCACACAGCTGCCCACCTGGAGGGCGGACTGTGACGCGCTGGAGGCCTTGTTGGCCGCGTCCTCGGCCGCTTTGATGGCGTTGAGGATGTTCTCATAGGCGGTGGCAGCATCCACGGCGCAGCGCACCAGCTCATCCCCACTGGTGTTTCTCTTGATCCTGGGGAATAGGACAGGTTAGGTCCTTCCACAGCCTTCCCCTGATGCCTGCAAGGAGACCCGAGGCAGTGGCCTCTGCAGTTCCACCTCAAGGAGGTGCCCAGGAATTAGCCCCCCCATCGCTATCGGACTTGACTAGTGGCTTTGGCCTTGGCTCCGGTCCTCTACCGCATTCTGGCCACCCCTCTAACCCAGGGGAGGGCTGGACTTGACTCTGCCCTGGGCCCACATGCCCTGTAGGTCTCTGGGCCACGCACTCACTCTTCCAGCTGCTTTGCCAGCTCTCGTAAGGACTGTGCGTGCTTTTCCGCCTCCATCACCAGGGATGCTTTGCCAGCAGATTTGGAAAGTTCTCTCACTTTGTCACTTAGTTCTTGTCTTGCTTCATTTAAACTGGCAGCTAATTTTTCATATTCCTATGTTTTTCCAAGTAAACAAAGACAGTATAAATCCAAGCAAAGAATGTATATGCCATTTTCTCAAACTCTTAGAAATTATATTTTCTAAACTCCTTCATCACACCAATTAATCCTTGGTTACTTCAGATAGTGGCTTTGATAATACGCCTCCAAGTTTTATTATCATCTTCAGCATTGTCATTACGGTGGGGACACCTTTTAGTAACTTTTATAAAAGTACAATGTCATCATCAGTGTATAGCTGTACTAAACCAAAGGACTTTTTTTACGATTTAGAGTTAGCTATTATAAAAGATACTTTCAAAATCCCCATTGAACTAAGAAATTTTGTCAATCTTTTACCAAGTCTTAAAAGTCTTCTGTTAATAAAGGTATGCTTGCTCTTTTAAAAATAGCATTATAATTTTTTTGTTGCTGTTATAACAAAAGCGATTTGCTCCTTGTAGGCAAATTAGATAACACAGATTGACATAAAGAAGACATATCATTTATACTCCTCCCCCAAGGGAGAATCCTTGTTAACTTCGGTGAATTCCTTTCTACCTATTAAATAAAAGACATACCCTTTGAGAGAAAAAAAATAGGTCAGCCCATCTCACTGTTTTCTGGCAATACAATTAAAATGTTTTTAGATTTTTCTAGAGAACAAGTGATCTCCTCTACCTTCTGGCTTTTCTCCATCAGCTGCAGCACCACGTTGATTTGCAGCAAAGATGCGTCTGCAGTGGTTAGATACTTGGTGAAATCACTCTGCAGAGAATTTACTTCCTTCATTTGTCTCTGGAGAGAATAAAAGGCATATCTGCTTGAGCTCCACGATATATTATCAGAAGACAAAGACATATTTATCAGACAACAGCATATAAGTGATTTCAGAGTCAGAGTGCTTCCTTGAACCTAAAGATAATACTACAAAGTGATGGGAAATCAGTTCTGTTTGCAATGTAGGCATGCTGTCATAGTTTTCTGAAACTATTAGTATATGCTGATGAAACAATTGCTATCACTGTTGGAGGAGGTTTCTACAGGAGGGGTTGACTTAGCCAATAAGGTGGATATATTATTAAGGTGTTGTTTGTGGAACAGGACGAAGAATTTTAACTAAATGAACCATCACCAACTATCAGCACACTCTGCATGCCAGTGCCAATGAGGATGTAGCAGGCGCTTGAATGAGAGATTACAGAGGACCTGAGGTTGCCAGGCTAGAAGGCGGCCAAAGTTCAGAGATCCATAAAATTGGATCCCGTTCCCTTCCCTTGGCATAATCAGTGACTTCACACAGAGGTGTTACTATCTAAAGAGGCTTTGGGAACTAAGCACAGAGTCATCCACTAAGACAGCATTTATTTTCATTTACCAACTTCCTCCTCTTTTGGGGTCAGTACTGTGTTATTCAACTTTGATCATACTGTCATTTTATAACCCTTCACATTTTTGTTGTTGTTTCAGCATGCAATGTTCACCATTAAAAATATAAACTATAAAATCTGGAGGTCTAAATTCTGTTGTTGCAGCTTCTGTGTGCTGTGTTTTCACTTCCTATAAAGCAAGTAATAGCTTAAGATGCCTTTGCTGGTGATTGTGATGATGATGTTTGTATGTCTGACACAAAAAGTTATTTAAAACATAATCATTGGATTAATTATAACAATACTAATGTCTCATCTACTTGGCGACATTATTCCTCCAATACTCTTGCAGCCAGGGTTGGGGATGAAGCAGTTTGCATTGCTTTGTCTGAGGTTGAAATTCGGAATCTTTTCTGGTAGCTGAAGAGTAGAAATAACTTCGGTTTTGCATTTAATGCCTCACTCCTGTTTGATTGGAGTCTGAAGTGGTATAAGCAGACATACGGACAGGTACCTGGCTATGCCACCTTATTAATAATAAAGATCCCTGCTCCCCCGATCCGTACTACCGGAAGCCAGCAGCTCCAGACTGTGAACTCACCTGGATGGCTCCCAGAGCTCTCTCATTTTCTTGGTTGAGGCCAGAGGCCTGCTTTGCTTGGGCAGCTGCCTCCTGTAGCATGGCATGAAGGTCACTGAGTTTGGCTTCATAGTTATTTAAAGAATCCCTCAAACTCTTCACAAGTCCGTTGTTTTCCACCTGCTGGGTTTCCAGCCAGCTCCGGATCCGGTTCAGCACTGTAATACATCACTTTATGTTTTCCACTGGAGAGATGAGTATATTGAAGCTAAATTATGAAGACTACAGAAGGAGAATTGAGTTTCTACTCATTTCATGATTTTCCTTGAACTTTTGAGGGAATGGAGAAGGAAACTAACATTTATGCAGACTTGCTATGTGCATTGCACACATGGCCTCATTTAGCATCAATAGTAACCATAAGACAACAGTAATTATCATTCTCGTGTTTTAGATAAGGAAATGGAGGCCCTGAGAAATTAGGGGATTGACCCAAGGTTACAGGACGAGTCAGGCTGGGGACTTGAACTTCAGCTGCAGAGTATAAAGTACATGTTCCTTCTGCTGCTAATACTGCCCTTACAATTAAAAGCTAAGACTAATGTTAAATTCAAACAATAAAAATGCTATAAGAAAACTGCTACTATCTGTATATTAACCACTGATATATCATTTTATTAGAGAATAAATATTAGTATTTGAAAAAGTATGCACCCAACTAATATATCTCAGTTTTGAACTAATGAGGCATTCTTCCTAATCAAAACCTTTAGATATATTCCGTTAGTTTCTAGTATATTTATTTTTGCTTAATACAGGTTGAGTATCCCTAATCTAAAAATCCGAAATATGAAATGCTCCAAACTCCAAATCTTTCTGAGTGCCAACATGGTACCACAAGTGGAAAATTTCCAGACCTGACCTCACGTGACAGGTCACAGTCAAAACGCAGCCAAAACTTTGTTTCACACAATTATTAAAACTATTGTACAAAATTACTTTCAGCTATATATATAAGGTGTAAATGAAGCATAAATGAATTTCCTGTTCAGACTTGGGTCCCAACCCCAAGAGATCTCATTATGTATATGCAAATATTTCCAAATTGGAAAAAAATCTAAAACACATCTGGTCCCAAGTATTTCGGGTAAGGATACTCAACTGGTAGGAAGGCTAATATCAATTTGTGATTCGAAAATCCAACAGTAGCAACAGTTAAAAATGATATAATTAGAAAATTAGAAAGAGGTGAGTGAACGTTCAGAAAAATGAAAATGCAGCTAAAAAGGGGGAAAAAAGTATCAATAGCTAACTTCTAGGAGAAGAACTTTTTTTTGGATGATGGTTAGACGTTATATTCTACAGCCTCTTGATAACTTGGAGAAACCACTCTTGGTCTCCCGGAGGGCTGCCCATTTTCACCGTATTTGAGGAAATGACCTTCCACCTGTCACTGGGAATGCTATACTGTAGTTTGCACATTGTATTTCAAACCAGTTAGAATGGACTGGATGCGAGAATTTGGGGATGTTCTTACAGAGCTGAGCCTCTCTTCTTTCTGCTTCTGCCTCTCTCAGGTGCTTGGCCAAGTTCCGGTTCCGCAGTTCCCTCATCATGCGCTCTGCTTCGGCCAACTCTCTGGAAAAGTCACCTGAAGGCAGGTTGTTTCCTTCTCCGTCTGTCCCAGAGATCTGCTTCAAGAGAACTAAAAAACATCAAATAGTTTATTGAACTGGGAATTCTAGGATCCAGCAGACCAAAAAAAAAAAAAGGCAGAAACTTTTATGGAGGTTTCATATTAGTTTTAGTATCACTATGGGATCTTTTTCATCATGTTGAACTCTTAAAGGGAATTCTTTCAGTGTACAATGAAGGTTATGTAATGAAAAAAAATTTAATCGGGCTGAATAACTCTGCTTACTGTGCACATTCCGGATGACATTTTTAATCTTCGTGTCCAGCTCTTTTGCACTTTGGGTTGTCTGATCAACATTATTATACAGTGTTTGTGCTTTTCTGGAATTCATTTGTGCCTACATGAAAAATAAATTGATTAGTAACGAATTGATTCGGAAAAAAACCTAAAAACGTTTTGAAAGTGAAAAAAAATCGTTAATTAACCTAACATATTACCTTTTCTTGCAAAATCTCAAACTCGCGATTCAGATTACTCAGTTCTTTTTCCAAGCCGTCGATTTTTGATCTGTGATTTGAAATGGCAGAACGGTAGTTGAACAACTGATTCTGTAAACAAAACACAAAGTCGATGTCACTTTAGAGTAAAAATTTAGACTAAATCCTAGTAATGAAATGAAAAGAGTCACTTAGCAAGACCCAATGCTGGTTCCACAGGAAAAAATGTGATTCTTTGAAAGAGGTTACATGAAGAACCTACTTTCTGATGTAAATTGTGATATGGCTCTAAAATAAAGCAGCAAATGTGCAAAATGTGAATAGACAAGAGATACTTTACTTGAATTGATGACCTGACCTTACAGAAATGAGGGCGATACTACTTGCCTGATGGGTTCATTTTCGGATTTTAAAACAAATATAGTTTTTAAATATTTACAATCAAACTGACAATACTAAATGCAGTGCACATGGCTACTTTATTGAAGGAAACATTAGATTCAAAGAATCTAATCTAATACAGCTGGAGGGAACTCAGAGCTCATGCAGTTGAATAGCCTCATATTACAAATGAGAAAATGGAATCCCAAAGAAGTTGAGTGACTTGTCCATGGCTGATCAGTGATTATTTCAGGACCATAATTCAGGTCCCTTGTTTTTTTTTGTTTTTTTTTTTTTTTTTTTAGTACTAAACTGACTTACGACTTTTAGAAGCTAACATTGCTGTACATTATATCTAGAGCAGTGGTTATTTTCAATTGCTCTGGAAAAAGTATTAATATCTTGAAATATTTTACAAGAAAAAATGATACTATTACTTCCATATGTATGTCAGAGCCAGTGTTGGGTAAAAGAATAGACACTTTAGAGCCTAAGTTCAAACCCCAGGTCTACCACTTAGTAGATGAGCCTCACTAAGTCTTACTCTGCCACTAGTAAATTGGGGGTTATAATATTTAGCTGCAAAGTTAGCTTTGGTGATAAGTGAGCTCAGATATTCTAAAATGTCATGTGCACATGAGCACTGAAAAATGTTACTTCCCTTCTCATACTTATTCCTACTGAATCTTCACACTGTTTGTATGATATGGCAAAAGGATAGTTTTATTTTAATTTTACTAGGGGAAAACTGAGACACATTTCTATATAGTATATCAGCAGAACATCTGGATAAGAGGTCTAGTGGATAAAGCATGGTCTTAGAATTTAATTTTGATTTGAATTCTTCTAGAACCATCATGTACTAGCTGTGTGGTTTTAGTCTCATATCTATCTTTTAAAAATTGAATTTAAGTTTTATTAAAAAAAAACAACTTCTAACAAAGAAAATCTCAGGCCCACTGGAAAATTCTATCAAACATTTAAAGAATTAACACCAATTTAACACAAATCTGTGTTTGAGTCTTCTAAATGCAAGACATTAAACTAAACAAAGGCTCTATGAGAAAAATTAGCCCAGACATGTTCAGTAAGTAAAAGATGTTCACGCAGAAGTGTTAGTTTTGTGTATTCACAAATACTTTCCAGCAGTAAAAATCTAATCTTCATTTGGATCAGAGGAAGGAGGAAACCCCCTGAGCCTTAGATGGAGTCAGCCTCTTCCCCATTCCCACAGCATCTATTCACGTGTCTATGTCGGGCCGCAGGGCATTTACCCTCAGGTCCTTGGCCTGGGTCTCCATGTGCCTCATCTGCTCCAGAGTGTCTGTGCTGGCACTCAGGCCCTGCAGCCGAGACTTGACCAGGCGGAGGTCCTCGCCCATGGCGTTAAGGTCATTCAGGAGGGTCATCACACAGCTGTCGCAATCTGCAGGGGCCACAATCAAAGGCAAACGTGCTACGCTGGGGCTGCCGGCATGCAAAGAGCACAGGGGCTGTGCAGCCGGTTCACATACATGTACACAGATCGTCACAGGCAAAAGTCACAGCCCTGGCCTTCTCGGGAGGGATGCATATTCTGGAAAAAGGAGAGCCCTATACACAGGGAGCATTTTAAAAAGAAATGGCAATTCCATGCAACTCTTTGCTTAGTTTTGTACATGCAGAAAACAATAATAAATAGCTTTTACTTATGGAGAGCTCGCTATTTCCAAATACATTGTGATAGGGATTTACCAGCATTTCCCCATAGCCCGATGAGGCAGGTCTAGTTATTATGTCCATTTAGCAAATTATGAAACTGAGGCTTCGAGAGGCAAAGTCGCCTGCTAAAGGTCATACAGCCAGTAGTGGAGAGAGGCTGGAAGGGACCCTAAGTAGTCCTCCTCCCACCACCTCCCACCATGGCTTTCCCAGACTGGAAATGGCACGTCCCAGCACGGGTTCACATATCTTACACTAACCCACCACCCAAAAAGAGGCAGGGGCTTTCTTTTCTCACCGTCACACTCTTCTGGGGGGCTGCCATCTTTGGGTTCTTGGTTTATGCAGTCTGAAAGCAGGAAACAACCAAAGGAGATATTGTTATTAAACTTACTCTTCATCTGCTTCTTAACTTGATTTTCAGAAAAGCTAGTTTTGAAAGATTTTAGTCACCCAGTTACCCAGCATTGCTGGCTCTTCCCATCCCCTCCCCACCACCCCCGCCAGGGAGCTCTGTCAGCTCCCAGCAGGCTTGCTGCAGGAACTTTTTGCGTGGCCTCCCTCATGATACAGTCCATTTCTTCTCACAAAGGTCCTCTCTATAAAGGGCCATGATTTTCTTATTAAATTAAAACTCTTAATCATTAGTGTTAAGGCTTTCTTCATATGTTCGTGCCTCTTCCAGTACCATTCAAGAACACTGAACAAACATTCATTGAGTGCCTTTGAGCACCCATGGTGTGCTGTGGCCTGTTCTAGGTGCTGGAAATACAAAGGTATCAAGTCAAAAATCACTGCTGCTCTGTGATTTAACAGTCACACGGGGGAGGCAGACAGATTGCAAAACAGAGTGACAGATGCCGTGATAGACATACGCACACGATGTTAGTGGGCCCACACTGCCAACTACGTATGGCACACATAAGCTGAGTTTCTCGGCTGCAGTCAGGAAAGCCTGGTGGACATTCTGGAATATTCTTTACTCCTTGCATGTCTCCTCTTATCCCTATGCCACACATTCGTATACAGACATGCCCTCTCCCTTCCCTCTGAGAAATAATCTAACTTCACCACAGCAAAACTCGACTTGACATTTTCCTGGACATGCTACAAGAGGCTTTCATGCAGCCAGTAACATTCTACACTTCGTGTGTATATACGTACATTTTAAACCACGTCTACTTTTAATTGTAAAAAAATAAGTTCATTGATGGAAAATTTAGGAAAGTCAGAAAAAAAAAAGTATCACCCTTGATCCTACCACTTAAAGACAATCATTTCCTTTATATATATGTTTGTATACATTTTAATTTATTATATATAATCATAGGTTTCTTTTACTCATCCTTTTTAAAAATATTTGCTCATTCTTATATCTGTATATAGTTGTGACACTTTTATTTCCTCAATTAGTCTATAAATGCCTTCCAGCCAGTAAACATGCTTTTATTGCCTCCATAGTTTCCCACGGTACCCGGAGCAGTTTATAGGGGATGAGGCTTCCCTGGGTGATTGGTTTATCAGTGCAATTTTCCCAACAAGCTTGAGTTTTGACCACCAAGGAATCTGTACATTATTAGTTGAGGGGAGGAAAAAAAAGAATAAAAAAGAAAAAAAAAGTTCACATGAACAAGTCAGCCTCATGCACGAGCATTTTCTTCCATTTTTGGAGCAAATAGTTACCATCCTCAATTGAGGTTGCTATTTTTGTTACTGGAATAGGGGAAATGAGGGTTAGGGAGGCAATAATCCCATGAATAAGTTGTGTGTGATGTTGAAACTTCTTGAATAGCTCCAGTGACAGTACAAATCGCCTCCTTTTAAAACAGTATGTTTCATCTTTAAACGTTTTAAACATTCGACATTTCTTCCTTAGAATGATTTAAAATAGATCTCCCTCTTGCTTTCACTCTTTGCTATAAGTTCTGTCCCTTCCGCCACAGAGAACGAGATCAACCTTCCCCCACACACCAGCCTGTCAAGTAGGTCCCTTCTGGGTCCTCCTCTCACTGCCATGCTCAGTCCTTCCTCATGTGACGCGGTTCCAAGTGTCACACTGGAACACTTCACAGTCTCACACTCTTTCTGAACACATTATAACTCATCTACTGTCTTCTAAAGACATAAATAACCCTCACACGGGGACTTCTGTGAGCAGAGTGCCATGGAACGGTGGACACTTGGCTCTGGACACTAGAACTCGGTAACGATAGCATGAGCTGTCTTAGGGGCCACACCACACCCTTGAGCCACACTGAGCTAACTGCTGATGACAACCTTAAACCTTTTTACACCTCCTGCTACTAAACCACATCTCATTTATCACACGCCTAAAGGTTGATGTTTTTTTCTGTCAGACCACATGCATGTCCTTAACATAGTTTTGTCTGGTTAGAATTGGCCCATCATTCCAGGATGCGGAGGCCCTTTTGTATTCTAAATGCGTCATAATAGGCATTTGCTATGGAGGGAGCTGGGGAATTTCACCCCCAAATATGGCACCCTCGTGTGCTGACTATTTTAAATCAAAGGCCTTTGGAGCCCAGCAGATGCTGGAGGAAGCTTTACTCTGATACCCCCTTATCTGGCCACAGTCCAGATCTGCCAAAGAAGAAAACAATTACTTCTTGTACCCTGATGAGTTTTTATTAACTGAAGTCATATCACAGGAAGAAAGACTGAAGTCTGTTTACACACCTGGACAGACTTTTGTCACCAACTGTCGTCTGCTCTGCGGGCCCAATAGACTTTGTCCCAGGCCTCATTATATGTCCTCCATGACCATTGAATCCTCCTGAAATCACTTGCTATCCCCCTTAAAATCATCCACATTTTCCCATCTCTCTTTCCCCAATGAAGAAGGGTATGGAAGCATCTGTACCCCACTGAGTTATTGGGTAACCAGTCTCCTGTGATTCTCCTGTGTTAATGCACATTAAAATAAAATTTTGCATGCATCTTCTCCTATTGATCTGCCTTTTGTCAGTAGATTTTCAGTGAACCTTCAGGGAGCGAAGGGCAAGTTTTCTCTTGGCCCCTACACTATTCTTCCCAACGCTGTGTCATCAGTAACTGGGTAGGCATGCTTTCCACATTCCACCCAAGTCAAGTGTTGAACAAGACGTAGCCAAGGATGAAGTCCTGAGGCAAGACAACACCACCCCACTCTAGACCGCCATCAACCATTCACTCTGCATTCCTTTGGGAATCGCCACGTGCCAACTCTAATTCATACTTCCAGGGTTAGTTCCTCACCTTGTCCATGACTATCAGATGAGAGATTTTACCCAAGTGTTTGGTGTTACACTGCATTAGTGGCATTTTCCTGATAAATCGTATTAGTATCTCCATCAAAGAAGGAAGAGGTGGTCTTCCTTTTTGTTCCAAGTTGTTCCTAATGAACCCTCCTAACACCCACTAATTATCTTTTCCTTGGTGTGTAAAATTCACCCCAATTACCCACCCACATTCCAGAACATGTATTGCTAAAAAAGGAAGAGTACTTTGAGTTCCTCGCATCCACACGTGAAGAAAGATGTGATGACAACCTTACAATCTCAAAGGGACGTCTCAGCAAAATCACCAAAGTAGGGGCGGAAGTTATTTTAGTTAAAATTAGTTGAGTTTTAAAAACAATTTACTCAAAAAAAAAAAAAAAACTAATTGAAGTAAGTTATTCACCAAAACTGCAAATATGACCTAAGTATTCCCAGGGTTGTTAAAACAAGGGGACAATATATTAGCTGGAACTGTGTATCATGCTTCCTGAAAATTTGTGCTTGTGTTCTTAGCCTGTTATTTGACGCCAGTTTTATGAACACGGGTTAGCAGCGGAGTGTGGCGGTCTTACCTCCAGTCAGGGGGTCGCAAGTGCCTGACTGGCCGTTACCATTACAATTGCATGGTTGGCAGCTACCTCCAAATTTCTGGGGATTTCCGAAATATCCTGGTGCACACCTACACAAAATACAGAAAGGAGGAGAAACATCTAAATAACTCATCATGTATCCCTAAGTTTTTCAACTTCTGGCTTTCTGTTTGGGATATTGGAACCCTATGGGAAGAAGGCTGACATAGATTTGCAACCATGAATATTTCTTGATACAGATATTTACCCCTTGAATTTCCTCATAGAAAAAAAATTTAGGGATTCATGTAATTTCAAATTTTTGCACAAAGGAGGGCTTTCCTAATATTTCCTATTGGTATTTTTTCGAGTCTGCATAATTCACGTCTGCACTCATGGTTGCAGTGCTTGCACATATTAGGTGCCAGATAAGTATTTGTTGAATGGATAAATAAATGATTGGACTAATAATACCTATTTTGGCCAATGGGTATAAGATGAGAGATAATGCAGCAAAGAATCCAGCACAATGCCTGCACATAATAGACACTCAATAAACAGTTGTTATCATTACAAAACATGATGAAATACTCATTTTCTAACTGGTATCATTGGAAGTTATTGCATTTCAGAAAATAGATGGGAAGTAGAAAGCCTGTGTATTCCCTAACTGTCAAGACCATAACTAGGCTGAGGAGACTTATCTAAGTCTACTAGGCGGGGTGGTAATGTGCTAATAACAGGGCTTTACTTTGTGACTAGCCAGGTATGTACCTAACAAATCATGCCATGCAGAAGATCTATACTCTAAAATGCTTTATTTCTAGATGTCTTACCTAGATCTAAACTTTCCATGTAAAAGATTCATAATTACAAAGTACCCTATATTAAAGCCACATAAACATTCAGGAAGTTTGATTCCACTTCTTCCTCATTCTTGCAAACCATTGCTTACTGATTAGAAGACATAACTCATCCCTTATTCTCATTTTATGGTAGTGGCTAAACACAAAGGAATGCAGTAAAACTTCCCAATTTCATAGATGACATTGGTACAACAAACACAGAGTGTACACGTTTGTAATCGGTGGCTCTGTGTGGCTGAGGGAGAAAAGGTAAACGAGCATGGTGAGGTTTGGGAAGACTTTCCTACCCCTCCCCCAAGCCAGCGCTGCCTCCTCTACCCAACTAGCATCTGTGTAATGTATATTCCTATTTTTCATCCTCCACTGTCCTTGTACTTATCACGGACTAGTTGACGACTAGCCTGGGTGCACAATTCATGTTTAACAAATGAAGAATGTTGACATCAAATTGGCATTTACCCATGAAAAAGGTTTTAAAAACTTTTGAGAAATGATAGTTTGTTTTCTTGAGACGTCGACTGTGACAAACACAAGCTGAGAGGAGAACTGTTAATTAAAAATCTCCCTTCAAATGAGCCACCTGCCAAATGGATGTCTCATCGAGCCTATTGCTGTTTTCTGCTTCATTGTTGTTTGCGAAGAACCAGAAGGAGAAGTGAATTAGGCAGCCTGTCCAGGCGTGAGTCCTGTGGCTCTTAAATCACAGAGCCTGGAATCCCTCCCCAGTGCCCCCGACCCACCTTCCTGTCTCGCTGGTCGGATGCCCCTCCTGCTGCAGCCCTCTTACCTGGTTCTCCCACCTCTTGCTGTTGTAGTGGCTTGGTTTTAGGTCTGTCTACCACTGGGCTGGACAGCCCTGGAGGGCAGAGTCTGTGCTCTGCTTGTTCCAGTGCTTTACACTGTGCCAGGCATATGCTAGGACCACCATACATTTTTCATTGAAAGAAAGAATGAATAATAAATGTGAGGCAGGTGTGACAAATGTTCCTTTTGCTGAAATGGAAAATGGAAACTGGAAGAACCTTAAACTGTCTCTTTTACCATAGGACAGAGTCTGGGCTCCTTAGCTGCTGCTCCATGTTCCCGTAATACGGCAGCCCCTGCCTTCCACACACGGCAGTCCCCTCCAGCCCTGCACCTCCATCTCCCGGCTCTCCTGGGTTCTAGTCATCCCTTAGACCTGCCGAAGTCCCACCTGGTCCATAAACACTTCAGATAACCCCAGTCTAGAGTGGTCATGCCTTCCTAGGAAAGCTGGTTGATTTAATTTTCTGTTTTTTAGAAAATTTGGTCAAACTCTCCTAATATTCATCCAGAAAAAGAATCTGCCAGAATGACTAAGGAAAGAATTTTAAATAAAAGATACAAGGGGAGTCTTGCTCAACGACATACTCAAAGGCATTTCACACTTTCAGAAATGATACAGAAATCATAATGGCACAAACAAAATAAAATGTACAGAAACAAATCCAAGTGTATGTAGAAATTTTGTACATACACATTTAGCTTTAGTGAATTCAACTAAATGGACTTGGTAAAAGACACACAGAGAGAGAGAGAGAGAGAGAGAGAGAGAGAGAGAGAGAGAGAGAGTGTGTGTGAAAGCATGAGAGTGAGAGCATGAGAGAGAGAAAAGCAGCTGAAACATCTGCCCCAAGGTCACACAGGGAGCTCACATCCTGGAGTGAACATGACATGGGGGATATGAACCTGCTGTTCCCCTGGCTGCTCTAGCTCCTCATGCCTCTCCTAGCGCGAACATCTCACACTAAGTACAGTTCAGCAGTGGAACCAAACACTGCATATATTTCATGCAACATGGCCCTGGATTATTGAGAAATGAGATGTTGGAATATTCAGGGTTATTTGCACTGTGGTCAATTTTTGTCTTACATGCTGACCTTAAATATATCTGGCATGTGATATGCGAAACCACCAAAAAGGTTAGGTTCCAAACTTCCATCAAAATAAAGACTTGAATGCAAGAAATAAAACCACTGAAGTACTAAAAGAAAATATGCATAAACATTTATATAACCTCTCTAAGCATGATACCGATGGCTGAAACTCTAAAGGACAAAAGAGTAGACACAACTATAGTAAAACTTAACTATTGCATACATGGAATTGACAAAAACAGAACTAAAAAACAAACAAGCAAAAACAAACTGAGAAGAATATTTACAACATATTTTATGAAGGATTAATTTCCTATAAAAGAATTTTCTACAAATGGAAGAAAACAATAAAAGATGAACATTCAAATAGAAAAAAATGGGTAAATGATCTAGAAAACAATTCAAAAAATAAGATTTGTAAATGGTCAATAAGCACATGAAAAAAACAATCCAAATATTAAACAAAAATTTAATTAAAATGATACACTTTTTCCTATTAAATTGGCAAACATTTAAAATATTGATCATTTTCAATATCCATTGGGGCAGCAAGTTGCTCATTCTCTTTCACTACCTTTCTGGAGGGCAATTTTGTAAAATATATGAAAAGCCTGAAAAATGTACCTATCCTTTGATCAAGAGGATCCATTTTGACAATTGTATCTTGAGGATTTATGTACACAAATATTTAGCTGCAAGGATTTGATTTTAGTGTTGTTCTAAATAGAGAACAAAGGCTCTCTAAAACCAAGAGTAGGGGATTATGGAACCTCAGTGGAAACTTTTCGGTCACTGATGTGATGTTATCAATGCATGCTTAGTGATATGGAAAGATTATGGAAAGTAAGTAAGATGACTAACATAGCATTAGATAAGAAAAACAAACCAAAACATAAAGTAAAACAGAAATCTACTTTTCTTTTTTTAAAAAAGTCCCTGCATGTAGAAATGATGTGTAAGAATATGCAGCAAGCCTTTAACAGTGGTGCTCTGCGGGTAAAATGATTATGAACAGGCTGGGCGCGGTGGCTCACGCCTGTAATTCTAGCACTCTAGGAGGCCGAGGCGAGCGGATTGTTTGAGCTCAGGAGTTCGAGACCAGCCTGAGCAAGAGTGAGACCCCGTCTCTACTAAAAATAGAAAGAAAAAATTAGCCAGGCATGGTGGTGCATGCCTGTAGTCCCAGCTACTCGGGAGGCTGAGGCAGAAGGATCGCTTGAGCCCAGGAGTTTGAGGTTGCTGTGAGCGAGGCTGACGCCATGGCACTCTAGCCGGGGCAACAGAGTAAGACTCTGTCTCAAAAAAAAAAAAAAAAAATGATTATGAACAGGACTGTGTGTGAACCTGTGCGCCTGTGTTCAGCGTGTGACATAGCAGGGGTGTGGTGGGGCTCACTGGTTCTTTGCTTACTTGTATCACATTATTTTTATAATAAAGACATTTTCAAATTAAAAACGTGGGTCATATGATTCATTTTTTATACTGTTACTTTTCCAAGTACGCGTGGCACCTTCTCAGCTGCACTGTAGCACCTTCTCTACCTCCACAGCGCTCGGCGGTGCCCTACGCATGGCGGCTGATCATGAAAATGTGTTCGTGAACAACCAAAGCTTGGCTCTGTGGCCCTTCAGCACCAGTTTTACACTTGCCATTCCACAGCATTTGTTCTTTTGTTTCGCAAACATTGCTGACCACCTATTATGTGAACAGTATCATGCTAGGCACCAGAGATTCGGAAATGAGTAAGACCAGACTGTCCTGAAAGGGTTCAAAATACAGTGAGGGGATGGGGGGGTGGGCGCCCGCATTAAGTAGGGGTGTCTGTGGGGGGAGGAGTGTGCAGGAATGAGTTTATATGGGGGTGGGAGCATGTAGAGGTATCTGTGTGCTGAGGGGTCTGTAGCGGTCTATAGGGGAGAGGTTAGGAGTATGTAGAGATATGCGGGGGAGGGGGAGGCAGAAATGAGGGGAGGGGTTCCTAGGGATGAGTTTACATGGGGGGAGAGGTACGTAGGGTGTGCGGGACTGAGGCCTGTAGGGGTGTGTGTTGGGGATATGTAGGGCTATGTGTGGGTTTGTGTTTGTGTTGTGTCTCATTCTCAGATTTCTGAAACATGTGCAAGGCAAGAAAGAGAAAGACGTTAATGATTTCTTAAGTGAGCAGTCTTGTATTTTTCCTAAGAGACTTTTTCCAGCCTTCAGTAAAATTCACAGCCCCACCCCAGCTAAGCCACCGCCCAGTGGGCCCCACCTGCAGCCCTGAGCCTGCAGCTGGCAGAGCCCGCCCGCCCCCACCTGTGGCACCCACCTTTCGCACTGTGTCCCTGTGTAGCCAGGTTTGCAGGAGCACCTCACGTTTCCCCCGTTCACAACACAGCCGGTGGCAAAACTTAAAAGAAGACAGAAAAAAGTAAAAACATAAATCAATAGGCTTTAAGCTCATTATTTTTTTTATTTTTATTTTATTTTATTTTTTTACCACAAAGGATTGACTTGCATTAAGTAAAAATTGAAACCCAGTGTCTGGCTACTTTTTTGTGTGAAGTAAATTCTGCCCATCAAGACTTGTAGAGATAATGATGAATTATCTCAGCTGACATGGAGCAAATTGTGGTGAACAAGGACTGAAGGCATTTATTTTATTTTTGGCTGGGAGAAGTGCATTCTTTCCCTTAACACAGAGCAAAGTAACTCACTTTGGAAGAGATGATTACAACAGCATTTTTCCAGAAATAACAAGGAAGGAATAAAACAAGTCTAGGCAGAAAAAAAGAACAGAGAGTTCTAATTCTTTTAAAAAGAAAAGTTTCTCCTTGTTTATTCTAGTTCTTTTGTATCGGCCACATTGCCTTCTGGGAAGGAAAGCCGGTGGGGGTGGCCAGGCCCTTGGAGCCCAGAAAGGAGCACAGAGCACACTCGCCTGTTGTGGCATCTCTGTGGGGACAGCCATGGGCCATTTTCACCTTTTTTTAAACCAAGTTGTGGAATTTTGTTCCCTTTTCCTTTAGCTCTAAACTGACAATATTTGAGAAAAAGCTTAAAAAAAAAAAAAGAAGAGAGAGAGAGAGAGAGACCACGAAAAAGCCCTGTTGCCTTACGAAGTGTCTCCATTTATCATTCACTGGGAAGAGAATTCTTATTTGGGAAGCCTCTCTTGCTCTCTTAGATGGATGCAGAGTTAAGGGACAGTTAGAAATTTGTCAGTAGTATTAATATTGCTGGAAGGTGAATTAGACAAAAATAGAGTTTTATTGATAAATCTGAGAGACTACGTGTTACTTCAGCTTCATGGAAGCTGGAAGCTGACCCGGATGATAACAATGTGCTTTGCAAACAAAACCGAAAAGCTTTCTTCAAGCACCCCCGTGGAAATCTTGCTGCTTTCTGCTTTTGCCAGCTTCTGCTCAAACAAGTCTGGGCAAGCGTCAAGCAATAGATCCCTCTACAAATGAAGCTGCAAGATGGGGTGAGCATAACAGGTATCAAATACATAGATAGCAAAGCGGGGTGAACATTTCGAATATGTCTCTCCAGAAAAGCCACACTTGGGCAAGTGACTGCTGGCGATGCTGGGACTTGGCCCGTTTGCCTGATACTGGGCTGATGTCAATCTGCCTTTGGGCCAACACTTGTTTCTGAGCCTGTGTGCTACAGATACTTCATCAGGATCTTCTTGATAGTCAAACCGACTCTTGCTTTATTTAGTTTATTTGTTATGTTGTTCTTTGCTTGGACCCTGCAGTGAACACATCCTGCTGAACAAGAACAGGACAAGGTGCCAAGCCCAGAGAACACGGATTACCATGAAAACACAGTGGTGGCTTCCCACCGACAGAGTCTATTGGCCACACTGGAGCCTGAATCAGATCACTCGGTGGCTCAGACCTGTCCCCAGGCTTCCGCTGCACTGAGGACAGGATCCAGAGGCTCCACTCCAGCCTGCAGAGTTCTACAGTACCTGAGCCCTGGCGGCCCCACCAGCCTCAGCTCCGGCTCTCTCCCATCCTGCACTTCAGCCACTCCCGCCTTCTCGTGTCCCCAAACACATTCTCACAGGCCTTGACCTTCCATTTCCTCCTTGCCTGGGACCCTCATGTTTCCGTGGCTTCCTCCATCCCACTGCAGGCCTCCTTGGCCAACTCCCTGCAGCAGCCACTCACTCACTATCACCACACAACCCTGTTTCAGAAAATGTCATCTCCATCTGAAATCGTTCCTCTTATTTACTTGTGTACGTATTTATTGAGTGTGATCACACACCCCCGCCCCACTCCAGGTAAAGCCCCACAAGATCAGAGACTCCCCCATCTTCTTTCCAGTTTCCCCAGCACATAGTGAGGGCCAAGGCCTGGCCTGTAATGGGTGCTCAAGAAATAATTGTTTAACCACTGAACATACAGCAGGGAAAAAAGAAAAAGGAAAAGGAAAAGGAAAAGCCCAGAAGAATACAGCTTGGAAAGACTGTTTCTGTTTTGTTTTTGTTTTTTTCTTGCATTCTGTGTTTGTTCATTTTTTTTTACTATAACGGTTTTATTGAGATCTAATTCATGTATCAGATGATTCACCCATGTAAAGTGTACAATTCAATGGCTTTTGTTACACACACAGAATTGTATAACCATTACCACAATCAAGTTTAGAACATTTTCATGACCTTAAAAAAGAAATCCCACATCCTTTAGCAGTCAGTTCCCATTCCTCCCACCCCCAGCCCCAGTCCTGGGCAACCATCAAACAACTTCTGGTCTCTCTAGGTTATTTTTAAGTCTCTATAGTACCTGTTGGTATGAGGACACGGGCAGGCCCTGCAGGATCCGTGGACGGCATTCCCATAGTGACCCTCCTTGCAGCGCTCACAGTGGTCCCCAGCAGTGTTGTGCTGACAGTTCTAGGGACAGGTGGACAGCACAGGTAACAGCAGCCTGGTACATTTATTACTCTTCAGATCATTGTAACCTACACACTTAGAACTCAAGTCCTCTGACTTTACAGCGATATCAGTTCCACTAATCATACATACTTCCTGTCCATCTAATCATTGTTGGTGCTAGGAAGAAAGGTATTAAGTGCCCTTCCATCAGTTACGTGGTGTGTAATGTTGGGGGCGTGACGTGGTGAGGACAGGCCAGCGGGGTTCACATCCCACTCTAACATCCTATGGCTGTGGAATCCTGGGACAAATTCCTTCACCTGTCTGTGCTTCATTGTTTCTTCCATCAATTTCACTGAAGCACGATTTATATACAGTTGTAATTTTCTTCAAATGGACAGAGTAATGCCCACTTTCCAAGGCTTTTGGGGAGAATTTTTAGAAAGTAAAGTATACTAGCCCCTTGGGAAATGCAGATTCTTTTCCCTCTTCCCCTTGGAATTGCTTCTAGGAAAATGACCATCATTTTACCTCATAGTTCATGTAACAATGATACACTGAAGATCAATATAATTGAAATGTTTTTAATACATGGAATTTGTTAAAATGATAAAAAGTTTTATAGTATCTGCAAGAAGCATTCAACTTAATTCCAGTGTCCCAAAGGAGCAAGAAATTAATTTTATCTAAGTTTTTTATTCATATTTTTGGAAATCCAATTATTTTCATGTCAATGCCTAATGAAAGTTGTTCTTCAGCAAAGTGTTGAGATGATACAACTTTGCAACTGAGCAGTCTATTACGACAAAGTCTAGTGGCATGGATCGAATTTGTTCATTTTGTGGAAATTTTATCAGGCCATAACTTTTCTTGGTGTTACCCTAGTAATAAAGTTCTAAAGTATCCAGGAAAACTCCCCTTGCTGTGGGCATTTGATAATTCAGAGACACTTTGTGTTAATTATCTTGCCTGGAGTAAGTATACTTTAAAAAATTTGCTTATATATTTTACCTCTGTGCAGAGGTGGTGCTAGTAGGAAGCTTTAATGGGTGTGAGTTTTTAAATAATATCTGAAGCTAAGTTGGGGAAAAACAATGTACATGTATATTACAAGAGGACATAGTTCGTTCGCAATGGAAAAGATTGCCCAATGTCATCGGTTTCTCCAAATTGAACAAAGCCGTCCTTCACAAATGTTTGAGTAACCGAAAATTATGCAAAACACTAAGATGTTAAAATATCCTCTCATATTTTTTTCTACATATAAAATCATGCTATAATCACAGGAGACTGGTAAGCATTTCAGAAAATGTGGCAGGCCTTTAAAGTAGAACACTACTCACATGTTCACAGCACCAGAAAGTTCACCCCTGTCTGGACTCCCTCCTTCCTTCCTCAAATCTTACTGTAGTGTGGGTTTCTCTTTGAGGTGCGGACACTGGGAACAATCCTCCCTGCAGTGGACCAGGCCACAGTGGTGGCCTCTCAGGAGTGTCAGAGGAGGACACCAGCAGCTTCCTTCACCCCTAACTCTCTCATAAAACATTGGTCTTTTGGAGCTCATTATTTACCTTTCCATTTTAGTTTTCTTTCTCTTTTAATCCAAATGACAATTTTTTTTTTTTCCCAAGACAGACTCTCACTGTGTTGCCCAGGCTAGAGTGCCATGCCGTCATCCTAGCTCACAGCAACCTCAAACTCCTGGGCTCAAGCGATCCTCCTGCCTCAGCCTCCCGAGTAGCTGGGACTACAGGCACGCGCCACCATGCCCGGCTAATTTTTTCTATATATTTTTAGTTGACCAATTAATTTCTTTCTAATTTTAGTAGAGATGGGGTCTCGCTCTTGCTCACGCTGGGCTCAAACTCCTGAGCTCAAACAATCCGCCCGCCTCGGCCTCCCAGAGAGCTAGGATTACAGGCATGAGCCACCGCGCCCAGCCCCAAATGACAATTTTAAAGAGGAACATACCCTGGATAGATATGTTTTAGTCCTATGACTACTTAGTTCTGAGGTTGAAAACATCAGAAGCAAGAACATGGAGAAATGAGAATTGTGGTGAGGACATCCGCACTCTACTAAAAACACCCTAAACACTGGTCCTCCTCAGGGGCAAGGGAGAGGATTGTGCATGGAAGGGTGTCATAACCGTGTTGCTTGGTAAAGTCCCACAAGAATGTCTGAAATGCTGTTTGCCTTCAACTGAGAGGCTACCCTGGAAGCCGTCTTCGTCAGTCCTGCAAATTTGAGGCATCTCCCTGTCTAGTGTCCTTGTATTTTATTGTGAGCGAGTGAGTGAAAGAATGAACGAATGCCGCAGGAGCCACTTCCACTCCCATGGCATGTGCTCACCTAGCTCCACTTGCAACCAAGTATCTATTGGGCATTTACTACATGCCCACCTATGCTGGTACTAGGGATGCAAAGGCGGGCTGGCACCTTGCCTCGGGGTAGATATAACCCTGTACATGGACATAGGCAATATCATGTGGAAAACAGGATGACAGAGGTGTGCCAGCATTCTGAGGGAGCGAGACGAGGGGCAGCTGCCCCTTCCAGAGCCTCAGGGAAGCCTCCTGGAGGAGCTACTGCCTGCCAGGGGATGGAAGGAGAGGGATTAGCTGGGCCAGAAGTGAGGGAAGGGCATTCCAGGCACAAGGAACAGAGCGTGCAGAACTTGGGTCTTGCACGTGGAAGGAGTGAGGAGTGACGGGTGTCCCCGAGGCTGAGGTGTAAGGGGGCTCCAGGATGCAACTGGAGGGTGCCTGAGACTAGCCCTGAGGGTGGTGGGGTTCCTGCCCTCTGTGAGCCTCAGGGCAATGTTGTCGGCTGGGAATTCCAGATAAAGCCTTCCAGTGGAGTGGGGAAGATGGGAATGAAAAGAGGGATACTGAAGAAAGAAGATGAGAAGAGAAAAGGGAGGGACAGAGGACGATAGGGGTGACAGAGACAGTAGAAGGCAAGGGGAGCCGGGGGAGAGAAGAAAACACGGGGAGAAGGTGGGGCAAGGAGGAGAGGGGGAGAAAGGCAGGGGCCTTGGCAGGAAGCAGGGAGATCGCTGTAGGTCCTTGTGACCAGTGGCACCCACATACGCATCACCTGCTACTCCTTCCCTGGCCATTGGACACATACACATCCTGCTGTACCGGCAAGGAGTTGGGTTATTTATCTTTCAAACTTCAAAGTTTATTCTTGAAATGACATGGAGATTTGCACATGGGTGAAGGGCCCTGATTTTAGAAATTTACTTTGGACCTTGAGAAGTGAAGGTCAATTTGCAGTGGAATCAGCCAGAAGACCCAATTGATATTCAAAGGTACTTGACTTCCTCATTATTGCTGAGAATGAGCACTGTGTCCTCCCCTTCCACATAATGGACACGTTTCAGGGCAGCATCAGCACTCAGTACCGGCCATGGAGCAGTTAACTGAGCGCAGGCATGGACTCTGTGTGTGTGTGTAGTGTGTGCATGTGTGTGTGCACATGTGTGCGTGCAAACATGCACATCCCCCACTAGACAGCACGCTTCTTGAGACGAGAGATTGTGTCTAATGATTTGAACCTCAGCACTTACTACCTGCCACAACAGCAAATGCTCATTAAGGATTTCCTGAATGAATGAATAGTCTCTAGCAGCCACAAGGCCATCAGGGACAAGTGAAGACAGAGCTACAAAGAAAGGAAATGGAAAAGAAAATCTTGTTTGATTAAAATATGAATTACGACTTTCTCAAGTTATCCTTCGCTAAGTGAATGGACTACAAAGAAAACTCCCTCTGTTCTTTGGCAGCTTTTATAAGGCAGACTTGATATCTAGTAATGGTTCAGTGATAAGATAAATATTTATTTTTAACTAAAGCATCTACTTGTGTTACACATGACATACATGAACCATTACATAGGAATGCTACCAAGCTGAAAAACAGTATTTTCTAATGCTTTTTTCTTTAATTTATAAGGTTACAATTCAACAACGTATTCTATCCGGCGGCTCTTTACAATGATTTCCTGTTCCTGCCTGTCCCATCTTGCAGAGGAAGCAGTTCCCTGGGCCGTGCTGAACTGGCTTAATATAGTCTAGGAACTCAAATAGTTGAAACACACTCTAGTTGCACAATGCAGAGGAAAGCTGTGCCAAGGGAGTGTGTTTGCAAAGGAGCACAGCTCGACTGGGGCTCTGTGTTCCTGGGAGCACTGACGCTCTCTCCTGCCCTTGGAACTGTCCATTCTCCTCACTGGGGAGGCCCTGGCTGCTGGGAGGAAGAACTCTGATGAAAGGGGATGAAAGAAGCAGAATAAAAAGGGTTCTGCCTCATGATGGAAAAGAAAAATTTCCTAAGCAACTAATTTTATTTGGGAGAATTTTATAAAATATTCCAAAATAAGATCCATTATGCTGTAGTCATCAAGGACTGCACCGACACCTCGAAGAAAAAACAATCGATACAGGGCACGTGCAGCCCCGGGATGCAGGGAGGAAGGGAGCGGGGAGGTGGCCCTTTCCTGACTCTGACGTCCTCCCCCCGCCTGTCCTCCCCAAGCCCTGCTCTGTCTTGGCATAGTGGAGAGTTTGTGCTGGACTGACTGCGTGTAAGCCTCAGGCCTTTCGCAGCACCCCCTTCTCCCCTGTTGCTTTTCTGAGTTACCTCTCGTCTGACAGCAACAAGCCCCCTCCTGCAATTTCCTGTCACCCTAACAAAACTGGGGACCAAAGGAATGGCTCTGATTTATTATATCCTGGAAAGAGCTAAGCCCCAAGATCTACCCATTAATATGCTTAATGAAGCAGAGATTTAATTTAATCATTCAGACAGGGGTTCTCTTCTGATGGTACATGTTAAAATGGAGGAAAAAATGAAATGTAAAATAATCCAGCTTGATAATGCTGGAGCCTCCTACATTTACACGGCCACCTCTATTTAGGGTTTGGGAGGAGATGTGTCACTGATGTCTCCTGGCAGAGTAGGGGGAAATGGGGAGAAACAGATTGTCTGCGGGCAGCATTACAGTATCAGTGTACTCACAATACATATTCCCGAGCCATCCTGGCAGCGATTGGAATGTCCATTGCACTTGCAGGGAACGCACTGTCCGGCATACAAGCCTTTGTGATCTCGATAGTATCCGGGGTTACAACCCTATTTTGCAAACAAAGTGTTTAATCAATATAAAGAAAGAAAATAATTACTAACCAAAGCATGTGACAATTGTGACTGTGAAGGAGTCACTTTTCTTTTTAAGAGATGGGGTCTTGCTATGTTGCCCAGGCTGGAGTGCAATGGCTATTCACAGGTGCAATCATAGCACACTATTGAACTCAAACGATCCTCCAGCCTCAGCCTCCCAAGCAGCTGGGACTACAGGTGTTCACCACCGAGCTCAGCTGAAGCATTCACTTTTTCGTCTTCTTTCTTTCATCCAGTGTGTAGATTTCTAATTTCAACCACCAGCCAGGTCCACCTGCTTTTCTGTAAGGTTCTGTTTGGTTCCTGTGCCAAGGTGGGAACATGAGACATACGGTGAGGAAGTCAGAGAGAGGGTAAGTGTGGAGGCAGAGAGGCGTTCTCATATCACTTATTTTGAGGGTGGGTGGAGGGGGTGGAAGATGGATGAGTAAAGAGAATCAGGACCCCCATCCTTAGAGGGGAGGACATTTAACCAAGTCACTTCAAGTTCAAGTTCTCTTCAGGGAGCCATGCCCTCTCCCAGTGTGGCTTTGGGTTAGTGAGGGATGGGGGGAGGTACAGGAGCAGGAGTTGGGGAGGGGGTATAAGGAGTCTGAACTGGGGCCTACACAATCATGGTGCAGTTGGTGCAATCACTTCACCGCCACTCACTAGTCCATGGGCAACAGGGAACCCCAGGGCAGGGGCAGCGTGCTGAGCTCCCACACAGGACTGTTCACCAATGTCTGCTCCATACTGAGCACACGGACACTAGGCCTGAGGGAGTCTCCCTGGGTGTGGTCTTGTTTCCTCGTTCAATGTTGCCTTGATTATTACTATCTCCAGGACATTGTCTCTCTCCAGTATAATACAAGTTATTATTTTTCATCTGGATGAAAAAAATTATAGTTTTCTTTTCATGAACTAACATCTTTTTTAAAGGATTCTAGTTAAGAATGCCTCCAATAGGGGGAAAAAGTAATTTAATTATTCTTATATCAGCTGTTAAAAATTATTTAGATTTCTGTCTTTAAATAGAGTTACAGACATGTTCTTTATTTTGGCAGAGCTAATCAGGGCACAGACTAAAATCAGACATTGTCCCTAGTTTCCTTCACTGATCTCCTACATACCCCGTCTTTAAAGCACCAGAAAAAATTAATATTTCAAAATAAAGAATAGTCTTTTATCCTCTTTAAACAGCACATATGTCTGTAAGACTCTGAAACTACAGTCAAAGGAAATCTTGACATGAACAGTCCATTCTCATTCATTCATAGTCATAATGGTCTTTCTACCTGGTCAAGCAGAAGAGAGGAAGAAGCCATCGGACAGGAAGGGGAGACAGAAGCCCCATGCTCTGCCTGGGGTGGAACCTCTGGGTGCTGCCAGGAGCTCCTTCCAAAATTACCAATGAATACAGATCGTACATAACAACAAGACCGATATATTGTTCCTTTAAGCTATTAGGAACCATGTTTAGGGAAAAAAACACATCGCAAAAAAATAGACTATTAGGTGCTATATGAATAGGCTTGTCTGAAGGAGAGTCGAAGTATGAAAGGAATGTTCTTTTGCCGAAAGCCAACTGAAAGATACATCTGAATGAAACGCAGCCAATGATGGTGCAATCATATCTACAATCTCTACTAATACGTGGCAAGTATCTTATAATTATCACCATATATCGCATTACCTGCTTACAAAATAATTGTATTTGGTAAAGAACAAATTGTTCAAATAAACAAATAATCTGGTTAGTTTATGGCAACATGCCTAAATAAAAGCTTATTTAACATGCTTTGGGGGAGGATAGTCTGTCCTGATTACAACTAAATCACCCATCTTAATTTGTTTTTGATTAGAAGCAGAAAAAATACTCTGCAAGAGTTATCTATCATGTGACTCTCGGAGCATTTGTCAGTTCCTGAAATATTATCATTTTCTCATCTCTTAAAAAGCAAGCAAAAACACATTTTACAAAAAATTTCAGTTCAAACATTCAGATTATATGAAAACTTATTCTTTAAATGAAAATGAATGTGTTCTAATATATTATTTCAATACAGGAGTTTTGTAACTAGTGAAGGTTTTTCAAAGTGATGATTTTTCATGCTAAGTTTTCTGGTAAAATGGTACAAATGGTAAAATTATGCCCTATCTGGTTTCTAGGGCTATTTCAGCAACCAGGGATTTATTTCTCCGTAAGTATACAGGTAACATCCAGGAAGTTTAAAGAAAGAGAGCAGAATTTATGAAAGTTTCATGCCTGGCAAGTTGAAGCATGTCTACTAGGTATTATTCAAACTTTGATCACTTTTCTTAAGCATGGATTCCACTGTTTCTCATGTTTTACTTTGTGGGTTGAATTTTCTTCCAAGCAGCATTTGGAAACCTATAGGCATTGGACTCTTGTCCCAAGGGTTGGGTTGCTCTCTGAAGGTCACAAAGTTTCATAGCATATTAATACCCCACAAGCATTCAAACTCTTAACTGTCTCTGCATTTCCAGGCGGGCTGATGTTTATGGGGTTTGTGGTTAATAGCTCAGGAGAGCAATCTGTCAGGCACTGTAATAAACACTGCCAGTCAACGCGACCAACGAGGCTACCATCGGCGCCTCCCCCAGCCCATCAGTTACTCATTAATCATCCTAACTCAAAATGTCACAAAGCTGGAAACCCTTCCCCGTCCCAACCTCAAATTTAAAAGGAACGTTACCTGGCTGGGTCTAAACTCCGCATAACTTGTTGGCAGTTGACTTTGACCCGGAGGCTGAAGAAATGGTACCCTTTGCTGTTGTGAATTGTACCCCAGACACTGCCCCAGGGCTGCCCCAAAGATCCACAGCCAACCCGCGCTGCGGGCCACTGCAGGGGGCATGCTGGTCCCTTCGTCCTGCCTGCTGCCGCGGGGTCCTCTGCCTCTTCCTCTTATACCTGCCCTTCCTGCTCGGTGCCCCGGCCTGCCTGACTCAGGTAAGGAAGGCTGTCTGCGGCCGGGGCCCCACCTTTCAACTTTACACATGAGTCAGCCTGCTCGGGAGCACACATAACAGTCTGCAGGTACGCACACCGCTCTGTAATTCCCGTGAGGTGGGGCAGGCATCACCTTCTACCCACCTCACCCCGCAGGCACTAGACGATTAGAGCAGGCATAAATCACAGGCTGAGTCA